TTATGAAAAAAATTGACATATTTGGGGATAAATTTTTCCTAAAAGAGTTGGCCAACCAGTGACAATGCCCTCCAGTCTGCTACTTGCACATTTGGAGGGGCTGACACTGGTTGTTCTTTTAGAGATCACAAGAAGTTCTCTTGAAAAATACCGCCAACAATTTTAAAAGCAGAGTGTGGGGGAGCCATTATGCTCCCAGAAGAGCTTGTAATCATGGCAGTGAGTAGAAACAAAACAGCTTCATTTGTGGTAACCCCTGGAATACTGTCTGCAAGACTGATGGGAAAGGAGGGAAATTATTTACAGTGAATCTGATTGTCTGTTGTGCATATAAGTTGTTTTGCAAACTATCCACCTGCGCTGGTTTGTTATCTGCATTAGTGTGAAGTGCAAACTGCCTATTGTGTACATGTGTGTTGATTGCGCTTTTAATAACTTTACAGTCATAGTGTACAGACTGCGCCTTTATAATCAAACTCTTTTGCTGAAAATTGGTTTTAGGAGGAGAGGACAAACTCTGCTCAAAGCAGAGTCATTATTTTGAAAAACTTAACAGTTTGCTATGTCAGAAACAGTGATGTCGGGTTTCCGGAAAATTTTGATTCAGAATTTTTTTCCTGATCCAATGATTTTTTTTTAATTTCCAGATCCTATGAAAGTTTTCAGTTTGTTTCAGAAAATATTGTGATGTCCTGGTTGGACAACTTAAGGGTCACCTGATGTTTTTGCCTATTAATACCAAAATGAGGGAAAAGCATTAACGTGTTATCAAACGAAGGGAGAAAAAAATATCCAGAAGAGAAAAACATTAATTTGCCCAATGCAATTAGGAAATGTTTTGTTTCCTTTCTCATTGGGTGGTATAGACATTGAAAAAATAAGATACCAATAAATGTTGCATAACTCATGCAGTCCTGGAATTGAGAATGCCAGTTGTAGGTTAGGGAACCATTTTACTTGGTTTGATTTGAAAGTTAGGTACTTTGCAGAAACTAAGACAGTGCTGTGACATTCTTCTGGGTTCCTTTAATTGTTGCACCTGCTCAGTCAGGTTGATCATCAGGTGAGCAGAGATACTGCATGACTGAACTAAACAGTCACTGGATTTGTTTAATTCTTTTGCTTGGAAATGGAGTATTCTGGTTATTAATGCTAAAATTAGCCATTTTACTAGTTGAAGATAGTAATCAACAACAACTTAGTGAAATTGTGCTGAAAAGAGAAGTTTAGATAGAAGTTTAGATCAGTTCTTTAAGCTGGAACTTCAGAGAGTTTTACTAGTCTTTCAAGGGTCCTTTCTAAAGAGGCTAGAAAATGTTCTGAAAATGATTAACAGGGTTAACATGTACAATGTGTTGGTCAGTGCAGATTAACACACAATAATTCATGCCATTGTTTATCAACCACGGTCAAGGTTGAACAGATATTTTTATGTTGCATGTATCCATTTCAGAAAATACAACTGACTTCATCTTGTTAAATATTTTTGACCAAATTTGATCATATCTTGACTAATAAATTAGGATTTTGCTTATACTCTGTGCTTGCCCTTTCTGAGAGTAGTGATCAAACCAGGATGCCTTTAACTATAGTTTTCCATTTTATCTGAACTATGGTTCCCATTATTGTACTAACACGGTCTTAATGGTTTGAAGTTGGTTTAAAAGTTTGAGCTATTCTGGACCTGGGAATCATAGTTTTTTGTGTTGAACAGAACAGAGAACTATGCTTGTCTTCTTGCTTTACTGATGGTTCATGTGAAAGGAGGAAGAAAGCAGTTGTATGCGCTTGTGCACATCGTGGCCTAACAAGTGATGGTATGATTATCCACATTTGGCCATTAAGTAGTTTAGGAATCAAGCAAACAAATTGTTCTTTCATCTGAACAATTCTGAATATCGGAACTGGAAAACATTGTAATTAAGTACTGAATTGTTGAAAGAAACTTTCTCAAATGATTTGTTGCACTTAATTAACATAAAGAGATAAAACATGAATGAAAGAACTTCCAGACTAAACTAATCTGTTTACCCAAAGAAACACTTCTCTCCCACAACTCTGCCAAATCATGATGTCCTGTACAGTGAATCTAGACACAGAGTTCAGTTTGCCACTTTGAGCAAGGAAAATACACATTTTAATGGTATTATTCTTCCAAGAGGCTAATGTGAAAATGTTGGTTTATGGGGGAAAATGTGTACATGGGCAAGTGCTCACATTTGAATCCAAGATCAGAAAAGTCCAAAAAATGTCCAGAGAATCGTGTTCTTGTTTGCATTTGTGGCTGTAAATGGGTCATGTTCACATTATTTATCAACAGGAAATAAATTCTCATACAGTTACAGTCCTGTGCCAGAGAGCTGGTATAGCAGCCTTCATGAATGCCTGGGTAAGGATTTTTTTGCTGAAAGTGCAATGGTTTCCATAATTTTTATAAATCTAATCTGATTTTAGTCCAGATTTGAACTGCTACAGTTGAAAGAAAATTCTTATCCTTTTTCACTTATTACTGTACTATTGTAAGCCACCCAAAGAACTTCTGCTATTGGGCAGTATAGAGGTGAAAATAATAGTATTAATAATGAATAATTGCTATGCATGTATATTTAATATGGGAGAAATTTTGAATTTGTAGATTTTTCTCTTTAGTAAGCCAGAAAAGCATTGTATTCAATAACATGAAGTGAGAGAAATTTAGTATATAGAAATGTGTCCTATTCTTGAATCTGAATTTACTTTTGCCTGTCAGACATGTGGTAGTCCATAGATACATTTTATTAGAAGTTGGTTGAATAAAATACACCAAATTACCTGTCTTATATTCTGTCTGAGTGCCGTATTTTTTAGCCTGTTTTCATGGAAGAAATTCGATGAGTTTTTTAATTATTTGCTGGTTGCATTTGTTCAGACTTTTTCCTGCAGTTTTCTGGCATCTGGCTATACTGCCCCAGCCACTACTGCCCTGTCTTTAAAAAATGCGGAGGACTGAAGCATAAAGGGGAGAGCAAAAGGACCTATAAATGGAAAGTGTATATGTGTTGCCAACATGTTACCCTTCTGTCTGTATCCCTTTGCAGCACAACAAATTGTATTCAGAGAACCCCTCAACCTTCAGGAGCAGCTTTGGGGAGGATGACATAAGCTGCTGAAACGGAAAATAAGTGGAAGCTTGTGCTTTCATTCATAGCTCATATATTGTGTTCATGTACACTTAGGTACACTGCCACTTGAGATGCAGTATGATTATGTAGGCAAATAAATGTGAAAGGATTTTAAAAAGAGATCCACTATTTCAACATTAGATGGGTTGGAGAGAGAAATTGTGCCATTGAGCAATTACATTAGTGATTTTCTTAGAGAAATAATGTGTAATAACATGGTTGCCTTCTACTTATATTTGTGTATAAAATTAGAAATTGCTTCCACGAAGCTGTGGTGTCTTTCTCAAGGGAAATTCATCAAATTGATATTTTCTTGCATAAATTATTGGAATTCAAGAATGTAGGGGTGGGGAGAGAACAAAAATGCCACAGTATGCACCCAGCTCCTAAAGACAGTGTTCCTTAAGGGGTCATGTCAGCCTGAAACAGGAAACTTATCTATGGGTGGGAGTGGGGAGTAAAGTTGTAGAGAAAGGAGTCCCCTTTCTTTCAAACTTTCATCTGTTGTGTTGTAAAGTGGTAAATCCTGAGCATTTTGTGCTATAAATTGGGAAAATAAAGCGATGTTTTAAGCGCTCAAACAAGCCTCATCTCCAACCCAATTTTCCTTTTTTTTCTGTTATCCCAAAATGAAATATCTAACATTCTGTAGGCTCTGGGTAAGCTTACAGGTATACCTAGGTCTGTCAAAGAGAGAGGTAAATTTATTTTTAAGCATCACAAAAATGGTTACGAACTAACATACTTCTGCACATTGGGGTGTCCTCTAAGTATGGAGTAACTCCATACCTTTATGATTCATGGCTCCATTTGGCTTCAAGATTTTAGATATGGAACCTCCCAGATTTGGTATTGAGGGGAACAAATGGTGCTCCTTAACAAAATTTGCAGTTTATCTGTTAGGAAAGAACACTTTAATTCCCCACTGTGTTAGATATCTTTAGGCTGTTAGTTCTGAACCTAAGGGATTAATTCTATATGGGGGTGGGGTGGGGTGGGGTGGAGTTTAACTTCCATGATGTACTTATCTTGCATGAATACCTCCAAGATTCTAGAAACAGGCCTGTGTGCCCTCTGTCACCGTTTTTTGATACCAGTATTTCATGGCACAAACATTCCCATACATGGACTTTTAGACTAGCTGAATTGAGGTTTCTTTGGACTCCTTTTTGCCCCCGCTTCTAACATGCAATAAAACAGTGAATCACAGTCCTGCTGTAAGCCTTATGAAAATAAGTTACAAATTTATGCATTTTTCCTGTGCCCTGTATGATGTCTAATCAACTATGCTAAAATCCTGAATTTCTGTATTGTTTGGCATTGGCAATTTTAGATGTTTTAAAACTGAGAAATAACAATTGTTTTCACATGAAATTTTGACCCGAGATAGAAATGGCTGCTTTCATTTATTTGAGAGTTGGACTGAGAGATAATCTGATCAGCTGCTCTAAACTTTTGGATTTTCTGTTGTTTTGTATAGGAAATAACTTATTTTTATGGTGGGAGAAGCAAACATTGTATTTTGCTTGAATCCAAACATTCTTTCCCAAAAGAAGGAATCTATCTCTATACCCTCAATTTTCCATAGGATCATAGTTGGGTTGTTTGATCTTTTCTTTTTATTGAGTTACAAAATTTAAAAAGATTTCTGCATATTTATAGAGTCTCTCCAATATGTATGAACCATTATCTTGTTAGGTGACCCTTTTTCACTTCCAAAATGTGAGGTACAACCATCTGAATTTGCTGTAAAGAACTAAACATTTGCTGCATGATTAAATGGGATTTGCTTTGTAATGGTCATATTGACATGACTAATTGCAGAATTTTCCTTCATAGAGAAACCTCCCATATGGATAAGCTTGGTAGTGATGTTGAAGCTGGAAAAAAGCATCTATAATAAAAAAACAGGATGAGTCGGCTGCTAGATGATCAAGAAAATGCCCATGGCAGCAGTCTGGGCTCCCATCCTTCTTTACGGGAACTTCATTCCATCAACCCTGCACAGCTAATGGCAAGAATTGAATCTTATGAAAGCAGAGAGAAAAAAGGCATATCTGATGTCCGAAGGACTTTCTGCTTGTTTGTCACTTTTGACCTCTTGTTTGTAACCTTGCTGTGGATAATAGAGCTAAATGTGAGTCCCTTTTAACCATTTACTTTTCTTGTAGAGATTATAGGATCAGGAATGCTGAATTTTTCTCATTACTATTGCAATAGAATATAATACTATGTGTATTTGGGAGTAAGAACCAGCCAAATATACTTTACTTCTGAGTAAGCATGTTAACATTGCACTGTTAGTATCTTCAACCCTAATTTGATATGGGCTTTAACAGCAAAGCAAGTTGTTTAGCTCAGTGCTGATTGCTGCATTTAAAAATACTAAAATAAGATAGCACAAATACTTGTCGGGCCATTTTTTAACACATTTCAATCTCATTTCAGATTATTAAATTAGTACATCTACTGAAAAAAATGAAGTACATAGTATATTGTGCAGATACCTTTTTTGTGGAGGGAGCATCAACTGTTGGTTGACAACTGCTAATGTGGGTACAGGAATAATTCTGATTTCTGTCATCTTAATCACATGGTTTAAACATGAGCTTTATAGCAAAAAGAAAACAGTAAAATAATAGAGTGAAGCAGGATAGTATTTAGTTTGTAGGAGGAAAGTCAGCAAGCCTTCATATTGAGAGAATGGACTAAATATGCCAGTTTTGATCCAACAAACCACAGGTGAAACCCCACTCATGGAACAAGACTTTTTTGCCCTTCCTTCCCACAGCAGTCCACTGAAACCCTTGAAAAAGCTGATTGTGGGAATTAGAGAACTCCTGGGAACTGCTAACTGTAGATTAGCTGGAAAAGATAGCTGGCAGGAAGCTGGCATACCTCTCTTGTGATCCCTTTGATTACAAGTCACTGTACTGCCTCCTGTATAAGCAAGCATGTGAGCTGAAACAATGAAAAATCCCATTGTGCACCTGTACATGTCAGTACTACATGGTTTTCAAGGGAGACCATCATGGTGCCCTACCTTCTTTTTATGCCAATGTTGTTTGCTCTGTAAATTCTAATGTATTTTCTTTATCTAATTGAATATATTCATGTATCTACAGAATTTATCACAAACACTTCTGTATAAGATACATGGTAATTAAAATATTACCAGCTGATCCTGCCAAATACTGGCATGAATTGGGAGGTCTGTTCTGCTATCAGACAACAAGATCTAACAGAATTAGAAACTAATTGCTTTGTATTCTTTGTAAAGCAGTCTAGAAGAACCTCTGGTGCTGAGTAAAGACTATATGTGAAAAGATTTGTGTTCAAGTTAGGGGAATTCATTATTTGTGAAAAGTGATTTAGTAGTGAAGTTTATTATATTTATATCCCAACTAAAGGTGGCTACATGTAGTTCCCAGGTGGGCTCCCCTCCTAGCTCAGGCCAGCCCCAGACCTGCGTAACTTCCACATGGTGGATGCCTTATGTGCCTTCAGATCATACTTTGGGCCTTCTTATGATGTAGTTTTAGCCACTTAGTCTCACTGTTCAGTAGGATTTACTTAGTAGGAATAATGTAATATTTACTTGCAGGTAGTAATTTATTGAATTGACCTTCTCAAAGGTAGACAGGTTAGGCATTTAAAGAAAAAAAAAAGCTGGATTGTTTGGAAATGAGAACCTGAAAAGCCACTGAGTATGTTTAGTTTTTTTAAAAATCCCTGTTAAATGTATCGATGCAAAGATGCTATGAGAACCTAGAACCTTCTTCATGGTTTCTGTGCATTACACACATGGGCTTTGTACTTGTTCAGTGCCTGCATTTGGGAAAATTTTCCTAGCTAAGCTCAGTAAGCCCCACTCCCTTTCCCCTGTATAAATAGGTGGAATTCTCGCCATTTTCCCCAGTTCACTTTTGATTGCCGCTTTGAGGGCCTCAGCTTTCCTGGCTTTGCCTTTCCTAGCTTTGCCTTAACTAGAAGCCAAACTGAATAACACATTGGGAATCCATTGTTGGATCACTGGTTTTTTGTTTTTGTTTTACTTTTTATAAAAAGCAGATGTGGGTTGAGATAGTTTGGATTGGCTGCACTTCACTTGGGAATGGAGTTTGAAGTTTCTTGTGTACAGTGGTATCTCGGCTCACGAATGCCTCAGTTCACGACCAAATCGGGTTGTGAACAAAAATCTCCTAAAAATTTTGACTCAGGTCATGAACTCCGCATTGGGTGGCAACCACAATCGCAGCCATCTCCCCCCCCCCCCCCCCCCCGAGTGGGGAGATGGCCACGATTGTGCTGGGGTCAGGAGGGGGGGAATGGCTGAGATCGCTCCTGTCTTTCTTTCATGAGCATGCTCGTGATTGTACCTGTCTTTCCTGCAGGAGCACAACTGTGATCGCGGCCATCTCCCCTCCAGCACAATCACACCTGTCTCCCCCCACCCAAGTGCGTCCATGTTCGCCCCTGTCTCTCTCCCCCCCAGTGTGCCTGCGTTCACGCCTGTCTCTCCCCACCTCCAGTGCACCGGGATGATGAGCGTGTGCAGGGATGACAGGCACCATCATGGTCTTGCTGCAGGGGCGGTGAGATGGCCATGATCTTTGTTGTTCCTTGTCACTTTGCTTCACATTTTTCTGATTAAAAAAATAGTTACAGGACAGATTAACCTAATTTACTTTGAACCTTATGGGGAAATTTAACTTGGTTCACAACCAATTTGGGTCATGACCAGAGTCCTGGAACGGATTAAGTTTGTGAGCTAAGGTACTACTGTACTGTTTTCCTGATAAAAATTACCCTTCTCCCACAAACTGCTGCTTTCTGCATTAGGGAAAACATATGGATATACATACACTTTGCTTAATGGGGTAAATTACTGGAGCAATGTCCTCTACTCCTGTGCTGCAGTCCCAGTTCATCTACCCTCATGGCTACTTTTTACAAGCATGTAAAGAGACAGGAGGTTCAAACATGGTTTTCTAGCATCTTGTTTACCACAAATATCTCTAGGACTCTGTTTGGGGATGCCACACTCTTTGTCTTGGAACTAGCTAGCCTTCATGTGTTTTGTCTCAGTGGATGCAAAGATTAGACTCAAAGACTCTAGAGTCTAGAGACACTCAGTGGGATTTTTTAAAGAGATACTCACTTTTTCCTATAGATTCCCCCCCCCCCCTTTTTTTGCTACACGTGTGCCAATATATAACAGCATATAAGAGGACCCTTGAAACCAGAAATAATAAAACAATGGTGGGTCATCTTATATGCCCAAGTATGACAAATACCAGAAAGAGAGTCCAAAATATTAACCTCATCTTGTATGTGAGTTGCCTTTATGCTGGTATACATGGTAGTTTGCCTTTAGTTTAAAATATTTTAGCAAAGCATTAGTCATGTATGCAAGCTGCATATATTAAATTGCTTTGTACTATGTAATTTTAAAAAGCATACAATTCTTAGTTGTCAAACTACTTGTCCCATTGAAGCTTGCCTTCCTTGAGTGCTTTAACAACATAATGTGCATTATGTGTCACTGCATATGTGGTTGAATAGATACACCCTTGTAATTATATTAACAGGAGAAATGTATGTTTCTGTAGGTAAATGGTGGCATTGAGAAAACATTAGAAAAAGAAGTCCTCCACTATGACTACCGTTTTTCATATTTTGATATATTTGTAAGTATTAACTTCCTGTACTTTTAATGTTACATTACTAAGCTTTTACCTTATTCTGTACCTGAAAAGTCAGCTTAGGGTACCATCCTGGTGGCTGAATTCAGAAGGTTTGGGGCATTCAGGCATGCATAGAAGCTAGAATTCCCTCCATGTTTCCCCTGTCCCGCAAAAGACATAGATTTTGGCTGTCTATGTCATTTGTCCCTGCTTGTGAGAAGGTTGGGCTGAGGCAGTGCCTAGATTCTAGAACAACAGTGCCTTTCTCCTTGGTTCCTCTTTCTCCCAATGCCTGCTCTGAGGATGGTCTTCCATCTTTGGAGCCACAGCTGGTACAGAAGGTAATGTGTTGGCTGCTAGGTCAGTGGGAGAGCCCTCCAAAGGCAGAGTCCTTGTTATAATGTTGGAGGGCTTTCCTGAGGTAGCTGTGCAACTTTTCCTCTGGTCAGACAACCACAATCCTACTAGCCATAGGATTGTGCTGTTACAGATATAAGATATTAAAGAGAAATATGTGCTCAATAAAAATGTATTATCTCATCCTAACCATAGAAATGCTTCTTCAGTGTGCATATTGTATATATAGTTTACATAGGAATCATAATTCTTGAATGCTATAGGTTGTGCTTTGAACAAAGCTGCTTTTCTTTTGAGTCATAAAACAATGTTTTAAAAGCATATCACACACAGCAAAAGCTAGACTATTTCATAAGAGGGTTTGGGTTTCTTTCTTCCTCCAAATTTCTAAATTTTCTGCTGAAAAATAAAGTCAATATGGGGTGGAAAATTGGACACAGATTTTTCTGGGGTTTTTTTTGCAGGGGGCTTCACATCTCAGCAGCTCCATATCCTTATTCTAAAATGCTTGTAAATGTTCTAAGAAAGAATGCAGGAAATAAAGCACAGAAATAGTTTGCAGATTCTTGTGATGAAAGCAGAAATGCTGTTTGACTGAGGAAAAGCCTCCTAGGGAGACTTGAGGTAACAAAAGCTCAAAAAGAGAAAGGGGAGGCTCAGGCCTAGAAAGCTGAGTGAGGACAATCCTAGGAGGAAAGGAAGCCAGGGGCTGACAGAAAAGAGGAATGATGGCTGACTGAAAAGTAGGCACTGGATGAAAATAAAGCAGAGGGAACAGGTGAGAGATTGAGGGAAAGGAATGAAAAGGCGCCTTGGGAGTGTAGAAAACATCACGGGAGGTCAAGGTATAGAGAAGGCAACTTTTGGAGAGAGTCAAAGTGTCAGAGAGGGAACATAAGGCAGTGAATTTGACTCTTAGATTGCTCAGTCTATTTATTAGTGATAAATACATAAAGCAGTTGTGTGAAATTGCCTGAGTTGATGACAAACATAGTTTACCTAAACAAACTGGATATTTCTCAGACATTTTCTCAAAATTTACTTTATTACATTCTGCCCACTTTGTTTGAGGACGAGATCATGCTTTCAGTGGTGTTACTAAAATCTTTGGGTGCTTCCAAATGAGGCTTACGTTGTATGATCACACTGCCTCATTCATGGGATGTTACTGTGTGTATGTGTAGGTCCAGATGACATCACTGTCATCAGCTGTACTCTCCTGTGTTGTCCCTCTGCTGTTTCTGTTACTTACCAGAAAAAAATGGGTTAAGGAGGAAATAACTGCTGAATGCATTTTTATTGTTAGCTCAAGGAGTGTTCATTCTGGAAGTACCCATGGTGAGTGCATATGATAATATGAAGTAGGATAATTCTAACATCAGCATATCCCATAGCAGATGCTTGTGAGAACCTAGAGTGTGAAAACAGGAACATGGTTAAAAGTTGGTAGAAGCTGAAGCTGCAGAATGGAAGAAGATAAGTGTAAGATGTGGTCCACAGTATGCCTTGGGAGAACCAGAGTGAGGGCAGGGAATTTATATAATATTAAGGTGCAATCTTGTAGTCACTAGACATAGTGTAGATGGCCAGAAGATTGAGTCCCATGTCTAACCTCCAAACTCAGTCCCACATCTAACATCTGAAATTTGCTCCATAGTTGGAGCTGGAACTTCAAATTTGGAATATTTATTGTCCTCACACCTGGTGCAGAAATAATCCCACTGGCTAAGCCTCCTTAGTGTGGGGAGGGGAGGGGAGGGGAGGAGGCAGATTCTGCCAGTATATGTGGTATCCTGGTGGCACCTCAGTCTCCTGTCCTCATGCTCCAAGGTGCCATGCTTGGATGGCCAAAATTGGCTAAGTGTTTTGCATGGCAGAAGGAGCTCAAATAAAACCTTTGCCTCTGTACTTCTCTTACTGTGCATTGAAGGCCTGTAACCCTCTGAGTTTTTTTAAAAAAAATATGTTTAAGATCACCCTAATGCCTTCTGTCTCTCTTGCCCCCCCCCTTTTCTCTTTAGCTCCTGGCAGTCTTTCGGTTTAAGATTTTGATACTTGCTTATGCATTGTGCAGACTGCGACACTGGTGGGCAATAGCAGTAAGTAGGGTACTTTTGAATTGAATTTTAAGGTTTTGAAAAATGATGCTTTGTAATCTAATACAGTCTCTGAAGCTGTGCTATCTATTGCAGTATTATATTGTTCCAGTATTGTATTGCAATAGTATTGTATTGATTGAAGATTAGATTATTTTTTACAGTTCCTGAGTACTGTCTTCATGAATATTAGTCAAGTGTGAGATAGTTGTCTGGGAGAACCTGCCTCTGTTTTCATTGCAGTTTTTAAAACCAAAAGCTTTTATTGCAAAGACATTTGTTCTGTTGAGGTAAACAGAAATGTTGATTGCTGCATCAACTGGAAACTTACCCTTCTGCTTAATCATTGTTCATTGTTTCAATCCCTCTTCCTGTTTGTTTTAACATTTTTATTATGTAACTGTAAAAGAGATTCATACCTTAGAGCATTGTTTTCTGTAAAACTTTCAGGGACTTGTAGGCACCCTGTCTATGCCTGGGTGTCTTTTTCTTTTATATGATAGGATTGCACATAATACATATCCTAACATGTGACGAATCCACTGGAGATAACAAGTGCTTTTAAATGGTGAGCAAAGTCCTGTGGATGTACTGTAGATACAAATTGTATGGATGGTTCTTTGGCAAATTACATTTTGTTTAAATATCCTGAGTCCCTTTTAGTGCGATCCTTTGGCCTTCTGACCTACGTGTTCATGTTGAAGGTGAAGCCCCTGCAGCCAGCATGGAAAGAACTGCACCCATTGCCCTTCCCAAGCTGGAGCTGGGCCTTGGAAAGGGGGAAAGGAGTTTATGCCAGAGGGGAGGAGAGGGAAGGGGGCTGGAGCTACAGAATTGCAGCCTTCTTCCCTCACCTCCATGATGCTAAATGTCAATTGCCAAAATCAGCCTTCCAGACAGCATGCTGGGCATAAAATGTGGTGGTAGCAGAGATTGTTGCAGTGATGCCTTGCACTGGGTGTTCATAATCCTCTGTGTGTGGAGCTTTATAGGAATCTGCTGAAGGGACTATAGGATTGCACCCTAACTTTTATAAGCCAGTGAGATTACAAGCTTTTGCTCATAACTTAATGAGGACCATCATGCCTTTATATTCGCCTGTTTATGGCACATTGCAGTAGCATGTAAAAACAGAGGAGATGACTGCATTAATAGGTATTAATTTTTCTTTCAGTTTACTACAGCAGTAACCAGTGCCTTCCTATTAGTAAAAGTCATTCTCTCTAAGGTATGGATTAACTTAATATATGCTAATTTATGTTCTTTAAATCATGTAACTGTTTCATTATGATAGTTCTTTACATAAGTACATAATATTCTTTCTCCCTCAAGCTATTATCTCAAGGTGCTTTTGGCTATGTGTTGCCCATCATATCTTTCATTCTTGCCTGGATAGAAACCTGGTTTCTGGATTTCAAAGTTCTACCACAAGAAGCAGAAGAGGAAAACAGTATGTTTCTTTGCTATACTTAGTATTGTTGACAGGAATCTTATTTCCTGTGCAAACAGAAAGAACTTCAAGGTACACGATATGTTTATACAGTGCTTTGGAAGATAATGCTGCTTTGATGTCCACAAGGTAGAATTACATTGCTATTTATTTATTTATTGCCCAATAGCCAAAGCTCTGGGTGGTTAACAAAAATTAAAATTATACAAAAGTTAAAAAGACACACATTAATTGAAAGTAACAATTGCAGTTGTTATGATTCATCATGGAAGCATAGCAGCAGTACAGAATGCAATGGAGTATTTAAAAACAAAGTTTAACAGTTACACTATTAAAATACTGGGAAAATAGAAAGGTCTCCTGGTGCCAAAGAAAGTACAAAGTACCAGGTGCACCTCTTTGGGTAGCTCATTGCACAGCTTGGATGCCACAACTGAAAAGACCCTCCTTCTGGTAGCCACCTGCCTCACTTCCTTTGGAAAGGGCTCCCAGAGAAGGACCCCTGAAGATGACCTCAGGGTCCACATAAGCACATATGGGAAAAGGTTATCCTTCAGATAACCTGCCCCCAAGCCATTTAGAGCTTTGAATGTTAGCACTAGCACTTTGAATTGGGCCTGAACTTCAACCAGCAGCCAGCGTAGCTGCAGGAGGACTGGCATAATGTATTTTTGTGAATCAGTCCCCATTAACAATATTGCTGCCCCGTTTAGGATCTGTTTTCAAGTGCAACCCCACATACAGCACACTGCAGTAAATCTAATGAGCGGTTACCAGAACATGGCTAATGGTAGCTAAGCTCTTTCAGTCCAGATAGGGTCGTAGTTGGTATATCAGCTTAAACTGATAAAATGTGCTCCATTCCACCAAGTGCATTTGGGCCTCAAGTGACAGTGCTGGGCCCAGGACCACCCCCAGATGACTACTGGACTGATGTACCAACCACTAGCAGCACCTCCATCTTGTCTGGATTGAGTCTTTGTTGGCCCTCAATCCATTACCATGCTCAGACACTGACTCAGAGTGGCCGCTGCCTCACCTGAGTTGGATGAAAAAGTAAGGTGGAGCTGAGTGTTATTTGCATCATTGGTGGCACCTCAGCCCATATCCTTGGATAACATCCTCCAGCAGTTTCATGCAGATATTAAATAGCATAGGGAATAACATAGAACCATGCGGTATCCCATGACATAACTGCCATGGCACAGAGCAGTAATTCCCCAGCACCACACCCTGGAATCAACCAGTCACGTAGGAGTAGAAGCATTGCTGTGCCGTGCAGTGCCCACTCCTAGCCCAGCTAGCCTGTGCAGAAAGATACTATGATTGGTGTTATTGAAAGCTGCTGAGAGGTCCTGGAGAATCAACAGGGTTGTGCTCCCTATGACTTTCTCCCAGCAAGGGTCATTCCCACAGGGCAACCAAGGCAGTTTCCATTCCAAAACTAGGCCTGAAGCTTGATTGAATTGGATCTATATCATTTGTTTCATTCAGGAGTGCCTGGAGTTGTTCAGCCACCACTTGCTCAAGCACATTGCCCAGGAAGGGAATGTTGGCTACTGGTCTAAAGTCATTAACATCCTCTGAGCCCAGGTTAGGCTTTTTTGAGAATGGCTTAATTGCAGCCTCTTTCAGAGAGGCTGGCACCACTCCCTCCCTCAAGGAGGCGTTCATATTCTCTTGGACTCTTCCTTAATTTTTGTAAGAAGTCATAAGGGGCAAGGGTTGAGCACACACAAGTGGTGGACTAGACTTAACCAAGCACTTTGTACACATTCTCAGGCCTCAATAACTGAGGCTCATCCAATAAAACTGTACCAGATGGTGCTGTAGATGCCTCTACTAGTGGAACTGCATTAATTGTGGTGTCAAATTCATGATAAATATGAGCAACTTTATCTTCAAAGTGCTGGGCAAATTCATCACAGTGAACTACCAAAGGCTCTGCAGCTTCTTTCTCTGGCCCAGAATATAATAGGGCTTAAACTACTGGATGAGGATGGTCTTATTCTGAGCCAACCTGGAATTCAGCAGCAGCACCAGACCCAAGGGCAGGCTGGTAAGCTTGCCAGGAATTATCTGATTAGGAGGAAAACTGGAAGAAGGGATAACCCTTCTAGCCTCTCTTCTTCGTTGTGGTCTCTCTCCATCACATGTATGGGTGCTGCACTTGCGCAGTGCCTCAGTTGGGAAGATTCCTCTGTCCATGACCACAGCAGTAGGGGCACTCTCTTGATTTCCAAAGTTACCCAGACACACAATTAAAGTGGTATATGATACAAACACTAAAAACAAACTGGCTGCTATGCTTCTAAGCTGATCAATAGCAATTACTGTGAGACATGCTGACCCACAGCAGATCTGAAGCAGGCAGCAAATGGGTTATGGCCTTTGGCATTGCCCTTTATCCGCTGCACAAGGTCTCTGCCTCAGTCTTCCCTCTCTGAAGTAGTCACTGGTGGTGACAGCCCTGCTTCTGGAGCACAGCCACTGCTTCTCCAGCCAGGGGCAGGCAGCCGCTTCACAGGGCAGGGAAGGCAGTCCTCTTGAAGTGCAGTAAAGATTATGGCTATCTATAACTTCTACATTGATTGATGCTGTAGTAATTGTAAATACTGCTGTAATTATTTACTTTCAGGATTACTGTTGGTTCAGGATGCCTCTGAGCGAGCTGCCCTTATTCAGCCTGGTCTCCCCTCTGAAGGGCAGTTTTATTCCCCTCCTGAATCTGAAGCAGGTAATTTAAGTGGTCTTGTAATGGAAGGAACTGTTGGAACTGAAGGGTTTGTTTTTGTTTTTGTTTTTGTTTTTGTTTTGCAGTGAGAAGGAATCTTCCAGTACTGCAACACAAAAAACCCTGAAGATTTGGAATTTACTTTAAAAAATACTTTACACCCTTTAGTTAAAATCTCCCCAGCAAAGCTTTAAAGTAATAATTAATAAAATATAACAAATCTGTAATTATCTTGAAACTGAACAAAGTTCAGTATAGATACAGCAGAATCTCTAAGGTGTTGCCAAATGCCTAAAAAAATTAACCTAAAATTGCATGACATTGGCTGCCAATATTGAAAAAGAAGTACTACTTCCTACAATACACAGATAAAATGTGAAGTTTGCTGTATTAGGCAATGGCCAATTACTTAAATAGATTTAAAGAGAGCTTAGGCAGATTCAATGGATACTAAGGCCATCATTGGCTATTAGCCCTCAATATTGTTATATGTTACTTCTTGTATCCAATGCAGCATTCCTCTGAATACTCATTCCTGGGAGCATCGGGCAATTTATTCAAATCAGTGACATTTTGCTGTTACTCTCTAAGGCAGAAAGCCCAAGCTTAGAGGCCATAGTAGGCCCTCCTGGGGTCCTAATCTGCCCCCCTAGGGTTATCCAGATGATCTTGGGTCCGTACCTTGTCCGTACCATTTCTCAAAGCATTTTTTGTTTGGTAGTTTCCCAGCTTTAATGTAATTTTCTCTCCATTCTAAATGGTTGAAATTACTTTTTCCTAAGACTTTGTTATTGACTTTTCTAAGGCTTTGTTATTTGTAAGAGCTTTAAACTAAAATGCAGTGGGGTTAGTTTTTTTTTTTTTTGTACTTTGTCTCCACCCATTTGCATTCATTTCTGCACACCACTGGAATGTGGCATTGAAGAACTTCCCTGAAATGGAATACAACCTCTGCACCCCTACCCTAAGAAGATTAGAGTAGCATATATTAACACAGTAAAATACTATGGTTGTGGTTTCTATATTACCCAATAGCTGAAGATCTCTTGGTGATTGGCAGCAGGAGATAAAATGCAGTGCAAAATACATTAACAGTAAAAACATCGTAAAAACAGAATCCCAAATTGACAAGCCAAATTAACCCCAAATTTTGAAAAGTCATAACAGAATAAGCAAGGCATGAAACTCATAGAAGCCAAAACATGTTAGAGGGCTATTGCTCTCGTGTCTTGATTGCGTGCTTTCCAGAGGCACCTGATTGGCCACTGTGGGAGACCGGATGCTGAACCAGGTGGGTCTTTGGTGTGACCCAGGAGACTTGCTCTTCCAGCATCCATGAGCTTTGTACATGTTTCATTGTAGTATTTTTTGTGTTTGTAGTTTTTGTTTGTTTTTATTGTTCTGTTAACTGTTGCAGATTTTCTTTCTTTTGGTGGATGAAAAGGGCAAGATAGACGAAGATGCCAACCAAATTTCACCTCAGCCTTGAATTTCTGACAGTGCTGGTGGGCTCCCTTTGAGAGCCTGTGAAAAAATATGGTCGATGTTCATAAACTCAAGGCATACTTTTTTTTCCAAACAACATTCCAGATCCTTCTTGTCTTACGGTGTGCAACAAAATAGCACAGAATATAAGACTGTACCTAAAAATAATGAAATGACATCATTAAAGAGCAGCTGTCCATAAATAGCACTAAGAACTATTGGGAAGAGTTGGTGAGGAGGATAGCAGCTTCTGCTCCCTAAAATAATTGGGGAGGGCTGGGAGGGACAGAAATGAACAGTGTGGCACTTACAAACTTGCTAATTTTTCAACCTTTTCCCTCTGCTTCAACAAATCACTAGTAAAGCATCTTTTAATGCTTTTAGGCATAATACTATCAGTAAAGGGAGGATAGTTGAAATCTAATAATGAAAAAAGAACAGAATAATGGAAGTGTTATGTTGCACTTTATGCTTTCTATGCAGTAGTGTAAAAGTCAATATGAAGGAGAATTCTGAATTACTAGGAATCTCAACTATTTCTGTGTTTTCTTTCTTTGTTAAAGAGAAAAGAGTAAAAGTGTTCTAGATTGCTCTCAGTAGCAAGCATGCAGTATAAATATAGTGATATTTGGATTGCTTTGGGGGATTGTGGGAAAATAGTACATAATTTAATAGAAGTGGAATTACTTTCCATTTACCTCCATCTAGTGGTGACTAGAGAAGATGACACATAACGGAGAAAGGAGCAATTTTCTTTCCTTACTGTTTTTATCAGGATGTGTTGGTATTCTGTTTTATTTTCGTAATTTTAACAACTAAGTGATTACTATTTATATAGTTTTGCAGTTGTTTGCTTCTTACAATTATTTACAGCCCATCTTTCAGGATACAGATTTTCCCAGCAGTCTTACTGGTAATACCAAAATATATTTATAGAAATCACATCAGAGAATTTCAACATGAAGCAAGTCATCAGTGGTCAACAGCCATGTGGTCAGGAGGAAAGAGCAATCCAGCTTGATAAGGCTGTGGTGAGCTCTGTTACGGTCTTCACTTTCTTTCCTTTCCAGCAGATTAGTTGGTACCTGTAGGGGAGGCCGGGCCAGTAGGATGAGGCTCTGATGATTTCTTTGCTTATTCTTTTCATTGGTACCAAAAGTGGAAAGGCATGCCCTGAGTGTATAAAGGCTTTTCTGCTTGTATGGTAGTAAACCTGTTGATCAGCTCATTGAAGCTATAGCACTAAACTTGCAGAAAATTATAAGATTTCCAAACCATTTAATTTATCATAGCACTGAAGAAGGTAGTTTGACTTTAATGCAATAAATTCTGCAGATGTGTAGAGACTTTTTAGGGCCATTACATTACCAGTTTTCTCTCCATTAGATTATATTTTCTGATTTTGGGAAAAAACCCTATGTAATCATATTGAGCAAATAATTCATCAAATTTAATATACATATGCATATGTGCCTGTGCTCCATTTGAAGCAGCCCTTGAAAGGTAGTATCTTGTGTGGGGCCATAGAGAAATATGGAATTCTGCAGGTGCACTTCCAGTCCTGCTGCCTAGTACTCTCCTTGACTGAACTCAGATGTGATGTTGAAGGAGCCCAGGATGATGGACCTGGATAATTTCAGTTTCCATGCTGATGCCACCTCTGGGGCATTGGCTTGCGACTTCACAGGCTACAGAGCATCTATAGGGCTGTCATGGTTTGTCACTGGCCCAAAATATGAAGTGGGCATACCCTTGATTGGTCTTTGTGCCATACTGTGAAATGAGTAGTCTGGAAATGGGGGGGGGGGGGAATGTCCAACTAACCCTATTGTCATGACCTGCCATTTCCTGGTGAGGTTTGAACTTTGGACATTACTTCCCTATTGCAGGAGTGGAGGCCAATTCAGATGGTTCACCTCAGGAGACCATTGGAATCCAATGGATTTTGGAATGCTCTTGAAGATTTCCCAGGCATAGAGCTGGAGCTCCAGCTAAGGCCCTAGTCTCACTGTGGATTGTTGTGATACCAAAGGCCATAGACTTGCTCCTGGCCATGTGTCCTTATCAACACTCTAGAGACCACTCTGCTCCTTGGAATACTGGTGATCTGTGGTCCATAAAACAGGCTGGACATCTGCTAGAGCGCAGATGTCGTAAGACCCACAGTGATGATGACCAAACATGCTCTGGAACACATAACTGAGTCTATTGCAGGAAGCAAAGAAGTGTTACATTGTTGCTTCCATTGTGTCCTCAAGTAGCCATGTAGCAGGACTCTCCAGGGTGGTTCAGGGGCTGTTTACACCTGGGCCCCACATAGATCTGTGACCTTTTTGCATCATGCTTTGAGGCAAAATTGCTTGTCTCTGCAGTGCTCTTGATGCTGTTAGTGCAGCTCCAGTTGAAGTGTCAGCTGCCACCATTTGCTTGATTTTATGGGATCAATTTCCATTATTATGGCCTGATAATGTGGGCAAGATGCTTGCAGCAGTGTGACTGACTACATGCTCGCTTGATCCTTACCCTTCCTGCCTGATAAAAGCTAGCCAAGGATGGTCTAACTGGGTGGGTCTGAAGAGTAGTAAATGCATCTTTGCCTGGAGGGGTGGGGTGGTGCCTGCTGTTCTTGAAGAGACAGTACTATGCAGCCACACCTGGAAAAAACCCCCTCTGGACCCAACACTATTTGATGACTACCGTCCGGAAGCAAGCAAGCCCTTTTTAGAGAAGGTGGTTGAGCAACTGCAGGCACTCTTGGAGGATGCTGGTGTCTATTTCAGTCTTGGTTTTGACCTGGTTATGGGAGTGAATTAGTTTGGGCTGCCTTGATGACTGATCTCTATTAAGAAAGAGACGGGAGTGTCCCCCTGCCAGTTCTACTTGATCTTTCACCAGTTTTTGATAGCCTTGACCAGGGTAGCCTCCTGGATTGACTCTGAGTCAATTATTGAAGGCAGTGGTTCTAGTCTTAACTTAAAGGTCAGTTCCAAAGAGTAACACTGGGTGACTGTCATTTCTTGAATTGCTGCAGTTCCACAGGGGATTCCTCAGTGTTACTTAAGAGGCATATGAAATGGCTTGGCGTGGTTATTAGAGGATTTGGAGTGCCATCAGTGAGCTGATGACAGTCAGTTCTATCTCCCTGCAACAGCTAAATAAGGAGAGGCTGTGCAAGTCCTGGATCAGTATCTGGACTCATTGATGGCTGGATAAAGGCCAATAAACCGAAACTGAATCCTGGAAAAACAGAAGCCTTGTGGTGAATGATTCTGGAATCTGGATGATCAGTTTATTACCTGTTCCCCCTGAAGCAGCACGTTCATAGCCTGGGGGTACTCCTAGACCCATTGTTGTTGATAGAATCCCAAGTGACTGTAGTGTAGTGCCTTTTGATAGTGGCAACTTCCTCTGAACAGAGATAGCTTGGCCACAGTGGCCGATGCACTGGTAACCTCAAGACTAGATTGTTATAGTGTGCTTCATGTGGGCCGACTCTTAAGGTTGTTCCCGAAGCTGCAGTTAGTGAAGAATGCTGTGGGGAGCTGTCTTTTTTTTTACTTGCAGTTCCTTTGCTGAAGCAACTATGCTGGCTTGGCTACCAGTTTGCTGCAAAGCCAGATTTAAAGATTTAGTACTAGTGTACAAAGTCTTGAACAACTTGAGGGCAGGATAGAGAGAAAGCACCTTTTCTTGTGCCAACCTGCCTAGTCACTGAGGTCATCAAAGGACATTCTGAGGGTGATTCCACATGGAGCCATGGCCTGTCTGAAGTCCACCAGGAGGAGCCTTCGTTACAGCAGTTCCATTTCTATAGAATCCCCTGCCTTTAAAGATTAGACAGGTACCAACACTGTGCTGTTTTTGATGTTTGCTAAAACAATTTATTCCAGCTAGCCTGTTCTTGCTGCCTACCAAAGTCTTAATGTTATTTTGCTTTTTAATCTTTTTAATGTTTTGTTCTTCATTTGTTTTAATCTCATGCTGTTCACTGCTCCAGAATCTGTTTAGATGTGGAGTGGTATAGAAATAAACATTCATCCATTCAGATGGATTTTTCGAAGAGCCAGTCATACTGGGGAGCATTTCCACTGTTAGGTATAGTTGAAAGAGTATAGTTGAAAGAATCATTAACTTAAAAACAGATTTTCCGAGCCTTCCTCTGTGTTCCAGTTATATATCCCCTCAAATTGTTTTACACATTTGATACACTTTCGATATAGAGCTATAGCAAAACTCATTACAGTAACTGTCTAATTACACATTTAACAGAATTGCACATCAGTGCTGTTCTAGGTTATACTGATTCAGACTAAAGGATTTCATACCTTTCATTCTACACACATACACAGGATTTATATATTATGTAAAATACCTATATCTTGACACTTACCAAGCTTTGTTTTATATTATTGTAATCATTTTATTTGCCTTTCTTAGGATCTGATGAAGAATCAGAAGAAAAACAGGACAGTGAGAAACCAGTAGTATAGCAAATACGGCAATAAGAGGCAAGTTCTTTTTGTAAGTAAGTAAAATTCAGTCTGACTGTGAAGTACTTGCTAATAAATTCTAGAAATAAAAAACTGTAACCTAGTCTTCATGTTGCCTTGTCAAATGTTCCATGTTACCAGCTGAATTAGAAGGATTTGAGGATCAGACAGGACATTGCCAAACATTTCATCAGTCTGCTGGAGAATAGGAAAATATACGTACAGAATGAGTGTTTCCACTATAGCGTTTTATTTCCGTGAGCTCTCTTGTTGAGTAAGAACATATTTTTCATTTGTAGTGAAAAGGGAAATGTTAAGATTGCTCTGTGTGGTTGCTATGGAGTCATGCAACCATGTATATAGGTAGTTTTCAGCAGCAGCAGATGGTGTTAAATTTGTTTCTTGGCTGTACTACCATGCCCATTCAAAAGGGCTATGTCTCCATGGAGTCTCCTTCTCTATGTGTTAGTGTAAGGAAGTATACATTTTGATGGATGTCACCTTCCTGCTAGTAAATTCATTGTTTTCTGTTTCAGAGTGAAAACCTGATTTCAGAGCTGCTCAGAATTTGTTGCTCTTGGACTACAATAATGTTGGCAGCAGGTTGCTTACTTTTGGAACTCATAGTGAAAGTATTTATTTATTGAATGATCAAGGGGACCTTTCCCTGTGCTCTGTAATACCTCACCAAATCGGTATCACATTTGCATATATATATATATATATATATAGAGAGAGAGAGAGAGAGAACAGAATCACGCCTAATATAAAAATACTTGCTGTAATGTATTCAATGATTATTGAATCTGTTTTTCTAATGACTAGGAATCCACTGGAGAGAGGTGTGTTTCTAACCTGTAGAATCTAACCTACATGAGATAATACTTTACAATGAAAGTCTGTAATGATTATTTGGTTTCACTATAAAAATGTCATTAATTTTACATTTTGTTTTTTAACAGTATATTTTTTTTAAGAGGGAGTTATGCACTCCTTGTGAATTAAAGGAACACATTAATAAAATGTGGCCTCGGCAGTTTGTGTGTAAATTTTCTCCATTCAAGTTCTTACATAGAACTTTAAACTATTTCTTTGACACTAGGTTTAGTACCATGGGACTTTTGAGAAAGTGAAGCTCATGCCTACGTGTATCAGATCACAAAGTGCACATGGCTCACTCTTTGTATTTGCAAAATTTATACTGTTGCCAACTGGCACCATTAACAATCAGTGGAAACACCACAATATTTTATGCATTATATTGTGTATACCTAATAGTCTTGTGGAATATTGATCTAGCCATTATCCCTTGAGACAGTTTTGATCATTTGAAATAAGTGGTGCAGTAGTGTGTGTGTGTGTGTGTGTGGGGCGGGGGGGGGGTCATGTGCCCCCAGCTACAAGCACTTGTAGTATGATTTTCCATAGATCTTACCACCTGGATATATCTGCCTGCTTATACATGGCTGTTTTATTTTGTGTCTAACACCTCTGAGGTGTTGCATACATACATATGGAGTCACTGTCAGTCAGTACTTAAGGGCACATGTTTGGTACGCAAAAAGGTCTTGGGTGTTCAGTCCTTGGTATTTCAAAAGAGTTTTGGCAGCATGAGCTGCAAAGAATCTCTAAGATGGGAGAGCCATATCTGAGAGCACAGCCCAGTGAGCTAGTTAGATGGACTGGAAGTATACTTCAGTGTAAGGCAGTTTAACATAAAGGTACAAAAATATTTGAATAGGAATTTTAGCAAGCATTTTGAGTCAGCAGAACTGTTACATTTAGTGGAGAAACTATTATACTGTGATCTCTTGGTTCCCTCTAGTGGTCAGGATGCACAATATGATAGGTCATTTCAGTAGTAAAACATAAAGGATTCTGTGGACTCTAGGGGACAACTTCCATCCTAACAGTCATTCAGAAATAGATAAGTCTCTGGTGGTTGAAGAAGACAATAAAATACGGGTCTATAAGCTCCAGAGTTACGTGGATGTCTTTGGCAAGAAAACTTGCAAAGGTATTTGCATATTACAGAATCACACTAATGGCTTTTCCATGTGGAATTCAGTATCTTGCCTAGCCCTTGCAGATAAAATATAAGTGTGGAAGTGCATGACCAATATCATGAACTCAGCTCATCCTTGATATTTTAAATTTCCAGCAAGACCTTTTTCCTTGGGGAAAAAAAGAGAAGGAAGTGTAAAGTTGAATCCAGCCCTACAGCTGCAATCCTACATGCACTTACCCAGGAGTAAGCCCTGTTAAATCTAATTAAACTTACTTCTGAGTAGGCATGTATAAGATTGTGATGTTAGGTATTTTGCTTTTATAACCTTAATAACATGTGTTAACATAATGACCCTGACCGCTTGAGAAAATCATTTGCCAAGCAGACAAGATGTAACAATTATAAGGTTATGAAAACAGCCACATGCCGTCCTTATACTCATCTGAGCTAGGAATGAATTCATTTCTGCCTGTTCAATCTCAGATTCGGTGTTACCCTACCTATAGTGTGTGTCAGTTTGCGATGATGTAGAAGTGTCAGTTCACCATTTGATATTATTGTTTTTTAAAATCGAAACCTTATTTCCAGTCGGCTTGACTCCAGTTAGTCATAGTTAGCATATACCCACTGAAATCAATGGGATCTAATTTAGTCCTTGTGCTCCATTAATTTCAGCAGTTTACTCTAATTAGGACTAAATCTAGATCCAGCCCTAGATGTATAACAGAATTCAGTATATAAAGTGACACTAATGAGAAGTGACACTAATGAGAAGCAACTATTCTGCTTGTGGAGCTGATCCAAGATTTATTTTGAATGACACAACACTGAAAAACATAATAGTCACAGATGACATTTTGATACAGGGTACATCATATTTTACTTTCAGGGGATCATTAAAGGTGTGCTGAATAAATACATATAGTGAAAATATATTGTGTTCCTCTTTCCTTAGATTAGACTCTTATCCAGTCAGTTACATTTAAAAATAGATAAAATTAGCATTATAACCTCCTTCATCAGAATTATCACATCCTTAGCTATAGCAATAGGTAATACAGAGGCAACTTGAGCCATGCCTTCCCTGGTGTTTTAGCAGCTTTGAACGTGAGCTTGATGACTTTTGTCATCTTGGAATGAAAATTGTGTATTACAAATGCAGATATTATTGTCTTATGTTTTGGCAATAGAGCAGCTAGTTTCCACTTGGAACAAAATTATTTACTGTAATGCCAGACAGTAAGAGCAAATGCCTGTATGAACAATACTACATAAAGGGACTACAATGAAAGGGTAAGATATGTGTTGATGCATATATAATCAGTGGAAGCCAACCTTTTGCAAGTGTGCTACAAATCAAAGCCAAAGTATGACAGCGCCACTCCAGTGCATCTTATATACAGAAGTAATTTCAGCCTCCTGGAATAGGGGCTTCTTGCAAATCTGCTGAACTAGAAAGCAAGCAGGTTGGACTGTGTGCCATAGCCAAATTTGAGGCTCTTCTCATTCTTGCCCAAGCTTTGCCAAGAACACTTGCTGTCTAAGTTACTTGTGGCATACATGCTTATGGTTGGTTCCCTATGATTCTTATGCTGTATATACACTCGCACACACAGCATGTCAGCATTCATGCATGTGTGTGTATGTATATTTGAAAACAACATTGAAAAACTTTGCAGCAGATTTTTTAAAAAACACATTGAAATCAGTTGCGACCTCGGTACTACAAGATTACTAATCAAGTCTTCTGCAGTGCAGCAACTCAATACAATACACTTAAGTGCAGAGAAGTCAAGGTTCCAGTATTGAGGAGGCTACTCAGCATTGTACAGGAAAGGATCAGGTTACAGGATCACCATAGCTCTGACAAAGTACAAACAAATCTGTTGCCACATATATGTGAACAAATAAGGACATTTTTCCATTTACTGCTTCAGAATATGCCCGCTTTTAACTTCTTGCAATCATGCTCATTTGATATGCGTCACCCAAATTTTTGTCTGGCACCAGTCTGTAAACCACAATGGCTCGACTATAAAGGTGGGCTCCTGTGCATTGGAGAGGTTCGAAATGTAGGGACCGAGCTTCCTACCACACACTTCATACCTCCTGAGCTGAGATCTATTGCAAACAGCGGGTGAAATTCTCAGGAAAAAGTCCTTTATAAGTAGTTACATCTCTGTATTTTAGCCAGTCAGATTCCTTAATCCCTGTTAACCAACCAGCTTCCTGCAAGAAAAAAAAGGGTTTTAAATGCTTCTATTTCACGAGTTACCTGCCTAGGACCTCATTATTGTTTACATACATTAAGTGTTACTTTTAAAAGCAGTTTTCATTCATTCCAAGTAGACATTTCACATTCCCAGAGTTACCTGAAAATTTTCTAAAAACAATTCAATTTAAGCAACATAGCTATGATCAAACGTAGTACTTTTCTTTCAAAAAAGTAAATGTTTTAATTTGCAGTGATGCAATGCCCTTTGCTGTTACCTGATCAGCAGGTGTGGCACATGGGATTACTAGTAGAATATCTCCTCGCCTCAGAGTCAGCTCATCACTATTAGCTGCTTCAAAATCATGTAGTACTTCAGCCTGTAAAGCATAATAAATAGATGGCTTTGAGAACAGAGCATTCTTTATTTCCTCAAAAGCTGCCACAGAGCTGTTCTCTACTTTTAAACCTGAAACATGATGCTGAGATCTTCCTTTTCCTTTGCATTTCTTTTTGCCCTTTATTCAGAAAGATGGGCATTGCTTGGTACAAAGTCTGAAAAGCAAGTGGAATAATGTGTTCATGCTTTTCCGGTTCTGATCCTTTGGCTACATTTGTCTTTGGATTACAAATAATGACCTGAAAAGCCAGCAGACCCTAGAGAATGGGGTGAGCTGTGATACAAGGGCAAAAGGTGGTCTCTGAAAATCAAGCGGAGGCAAATTGCATGCGTGAAGTTCCTGTGGAACATAAAACCAGGTGGTCAAGAAGAAGAAACAACTGCAACTACCAGTTTCAAACCTGCTTTAGGAGCAAGTGCCAGAAGTCTGTCAGAATAAAATGTCTTTTCCCGTTCTCCCCAGCACAAATGCTGCCAGCCTGGCCTCCCTTGTCAGGCAGCTCCACAGCCTCTAAGATGACTATCGCCCATGTTTTTTTAAAAAATGCTTTCCATGATAGTAAAACAGAGATGTGCCTCTCCGGAGGATCTTAAAACCTGGGCAGGCTTGTATCAGGAAATGTTGTTTTTGACATAGTCAGGCCTGAAGGCCTATGTGGCTTTATCAGTCATCAGCAGCATTGTAAATTGTGCTCAGAAAGGACTCATAGTTAGTGGAGTTGTTGTAACAAGGGAATCACTTGCTCACTATAATGCTCCATCAATAGTCTGGCTACTGCATTTTGGACTAGTGGGAGTTTCTGACTAGTTTTCAAAGACCCATATAGAGTATGTTACAGTACTCCAAACAGGATGCAGCAGGATAGAAGACATTTCACTGTGGCCAGATCTCTACGAACAGGCAGGGTTGGTTCACTAGCCATGCAGATTTATTCTTGGCCACCACAAAACTTGGGTTTGCTAAACTGACTCTAGGAATATACTTAAACTGCAGCCCTGAAATTCCACACACTGTGTAACACCATTTGATTCCCTGTCTACCTCCTCAGGAGCACACTTATTTTGTCTGGATGAAATTTCAATGTGTTTCATCCAGTCCATTGCTAACATCAGACACACGTTTAGAATGAGAACAGTTTCTTTGGACTTAGATGTTGGTGGCCTGGGGAAAACAAGAGTCAGGATCATCAGCATGCTTGTGGCTCCAAATTCTGGACAACCTCTCCCAGCAGTTTGATGTGTATGTTAAATAGCAAGGGGTGGGGGGAATAAGATAAGAATTCCAAGGGGAACCAAAATCCAATCACCATGCCATCGAATGCCTTCTGAGAGTAAATGGAGCTCCCATGAAATGGTCTCTATACAACCTGTCCTCAGCTAGTTAGCCAGAATACTATGTCCAATAACAATAAAGGTTACTAAGAAGTCCAGCAGAACCAAGGGGGATACTATCCCAATATCCAGTTCCTGCAGTGGAAAAGCCAATCAGGAGACCAATGCTGTCTTTGCTCCATAATAATGGCAGGGTTGTATAGAAGCCATATTTCCAAACTCCTTGGACATCAACACATCCTCCACCACTTTATCCAGAAATGGAACAGAATACTGGAGACTTAGCAGAAAAGGGCTTCCTCATTGCTATGGTTAGGATGTCCCTCTAGCATTCACAGATTTCCTTTTTTGCTCAGCCCTGTCGTGTTAGAATGGTGCATACTCTGTTGTAAAGAGGCATCCTCCAATACTCTTCCTAGCTCAGCTAGCCCCTGCCCCTGTGGCTGCTTTTACAAGCTAGGAGAGCAAGAGTCTTACAGCTCTATGGAACCTGTTGGCATCCCCAGGTGGTAGCAATGGAAAAATATCCATTATACCTGGACAAACAGAGGCCTGTGACATCAGCTGGAATTTCAGCAACTGTTTGATGAAGATCCGCAAAGAAAAATGAGATTTGTATCAAGTAGAAGATTTGTATCAAGTAGAAGGCTGTACCCAGTGCCATAGTTTGCATTTATACAAATCCTGGATACAGTTCTATGTTTGACTGGTTCAGTGAAATGATAACACACTGGTATACTGAAAGTTGCTTCTTTATGGCCTGTATTTAAGAAGGACTGTAGAGAATAGTGGTTCAAATACGCACCATGTTTCTTATTCTATATTCAGTGATGTCATGTCAAAGAAAATTCAAATGAATAAATGCTCAAGTAAACCTTAAAGAGGAAGTTGGGTGGCATGTCATCATCTGCTGATACAGGCTTTTCCTCAGAAGATGCAGCCGGCACTTCTTTGATAGTTTCTGGCTCACTTGCAATACCTGAAGGTTCACCAGCGAGGCCATCAGTGCCCTGAGTACCAGAATCTTCTACAGCATCTTTTGATTCATTCACTAGAACCTCGTGATCTTCTCCATCACCTTCATTGTTTGATGCAGGCTCTATCACTACTGAAGGAATGTTGCTGAGGTTTTCCTTAGGAGAAAAACATGGGGAGAAAAAGGCAGTAGTTAGAACAGTAACAGTTACCCCTCTAGAACAGGAGTAAATAGATCAGATGGCTCTCCAGATGTTTTGGTTTCACTTCCCAGGAACCCTTGCTGACATGTTCAGGAAGGTTGGGAGTTGAAGTCTAAAGTGCCCAGAAATCTACTTTGTTCACCTCTGATCTTGAATGGTTAAATCCTTTTTTGGTTTGGTCTCAGAACAGTTAGCATTAAAAAAAAACCCCATGTGCTTTTACCATGTAATTGAAGAAATGCAAAGCTCAGTATAACAGCAAATAATCTCCCTATCTACTTCAGAGAAAATTTTTGGTGCATATTGAAACCACCCATATGGACAGCTAGAAAACCTGAGTTAGCACAGTTTGCCAAACTTAATGCATTTGATTTTCTCCTATTTAAACAAAGTTCAGCACTTGATCATTGGCTGGACTGGGCCTGTAACTTTCAACATGTATTTCTCTTGCAAGGTTCTACACTTACTTTAAGGAACAGGACAGCTTCATTTCTATTGGACTGAATAAAGAAGCCCTTGGAATGGGGGATATCTAAGAAAAGGGAGAGAAACCTTTATCCCTCCAGCCATTGTTGAATTACAATGCTATCATCCCTTGCTATGGGCTATGATGGCTTGGTCTGATGGGAGTTAATCTCCAACAGTATCTGGAGGGCTACAGGTTTCTCTGCCCTGCTCTAAGGACTGATGTATGATGGCTTTGAAGTATTCAGGACTTTTATCATAGACTGGATTACTGAAAAAAAAGGCATAGTTGAAGTATTGGAGAAAGGAGCTACCTGTTCTGAGGATGGACAGTATTTTATTGATTTAAAATTATTCTAATTGTTTCTTCCACAATGTAGAGAGCCAGAATCTCGCCAATGTAAATGAAACTTAGAGCTTCATATAATTTTTCAGATTAAAAACCTCATCCCTTTTAAGAATTACAGCTTACCTCCTTAGTACTGTGGAATCCAAATCATATAGTTTACTACACACTTCAACCATTGTAGCAATCCTTTCCAAGGAACCCAAGACACTACAGGGGCAGGGAGTAGGCAGACCAGCCTTGCCATTAGGTACAGTCAGACACTGCCCCCAGGTGAGGGATGCTAAGGGAGAGGATAGCAGTGCCAGCTCACTGATTCTCCTCCTGGCTCCTTGACCAGTTTCCTTCCTTCTTAGAACAAAGGTTTGCCCAAACATTATGTTCTGCACCCTCTAAGCTGCCCTGTTGCCCTCAGGTGCAATGAAGGACTGCCAATCCAATCAGCTTCTGCATGCAAAATAGGAGAAGATTACTGCAGAAGCTGTAATCTGCAGGAATGCCCTTTGCCTCAGGCAGCAAAGTGTCTTGGGCCAGCTCTGGTGGGGGTGGCAGCAGAGTCTCAAAGAGAATTCCTAGTGCCACATCCAGCTATGCATTTTGGAGGGGTGTAGCTGTTAGATTGTTGGACTGGGAATCAGGAAACATGGATTCTAATTCACCCTGGGTCATGAAGCTCACTGCATGACTTAGGGCCAGTCACTGACTCTCCCCTTAACCTACCCCCAAATTGAGAATATAAAACAGAGAGGAGGATAATAATCATGTGTACTATCTTGGGTTGCTTGGCAGGAAAAGAATAGGATATAAAAGTAAATACATAAATTCTATTTTAATTTGACTTATACCCCACATTTCTACTACAACTGGCACTCAAGTTGGCTTACAAAACCAAGATAAACTAGATTAAAATAATAAAGCACATTAACATAAAGCTTCCATATAGCCTGAAGTGTTTGATCCTGCCTAATCTTGGAAGTTACGAGGGTCAGAACTGGTTAAAACTTGGATGAGTGACTTAAAATATTGTGAACCTCCCAGACAGCTTCAGCTATGGGTGGTATAGAAATGTAATGTAAACAATAACATATAATGAAAATGAAGCACTTTGAAAACAAAAACAGCATCCAGACCAGCAGATCTGTTTACAAAGGTCTTACTGAATGAAGCAAACTTTGCTTCGCAACAGAAATATACTGGAGGAAGGAAATTTATCCTCCACTGGGAGCCAGTACTACAGCCTGGAGACTGCCCCCAAATGCCCTCTCAGGTTGCTACCAAATGTGCCTCCAAAGGCAGAGCTCTCGAGGGCCCACTGCAGACAATCTGAAAAGTTTCAGCAGGTTCATATGCGTGAAGGCAGTCTTTCATGAAGCCTGGTCCCAAGTTGTAAAGGGCTTCATGGGTAATAAAGGTAAAATTGGGCTTGGAAACAGACTGGTAGTCGGCGAGGCTGCTGTAACAATGGAGTTGCATGCTTCTTGTAACCAGCCCCAGTCAGCAGTCTGGCCACAGCATTCTGGACCAGCTGAAGTTTCTGAAGGTAGCCCAGACAGAGCACACTGCAATAGTCCAAACAGAAATCCCTGGAATGAAATGGCATAAAATTGGTTGAGGACCACGAGTTTCTAAAACATCACTGAAAAAGAGAAGCACAAACCTGTACTGGTGGTTTTACCTGAGATTCCTCTGTTTTTCCTTCAGGACAAGTTAAGTCACTTTCTTCAACACCTGTTTCAGCAGCAACAGCAGCAGCAGCAGCCGCAGCAACCTCACCACCTTCACTCGCAGGAGCAGCATCCATGCCCTCACCTTCAGTAGGAACCTCCATAACAGAATCCATCTGTAACTAACCAGAAGTTCAAGAACGCCAAATATTATTCAGCTAATAGGAGAATGTGAATGATGCTTTTCCTACAACAACATTTTTACAGAGGCAAGCCATAGTAGTGATGGGCAACTGTAAGACAGGAGATGGGCCAATGCTTTCCTTCTCTTAAAAAGGGGGAGAAAGGTGGAACCAGGGGGTGACAGCTCACTCAGTATGTCACTGAAACTGAGCAACCTTAAGAGGTTAGTCTGTAAGCATCTAGAAAGGAATGCATTGATGAATAGGTGGCACCATGGAGTCATTAAGAATAAGCCACATTAGATAAAGTATTACTCGTTTGGTATCATGGGAAGCTCATCAGCCATGTATATCTTGATTTCAGCAAGCATTTGATAATGCCTGCCATAGCATCTTTGGACAATATTACTGTTAGGTGGATGCACAGCTGGTGTAATAAACCTAAATAAAAAGCACTCAGTAATGGCTTTGGATCAGCTGGTCCTGCACAGGATGGGCTCTGCCTAAGGCCATGCTCAGCATATCTTTACAAGACCTGAGTGAGAGCATAGAAGGGATGCTTATTGAAGGTACCGGTAGCACAAAATTGGGAGGGGCAGCTAACATTATAGAAGACAGGATCAAGATTCAGAATGGCCTCGATGACCTAGAACAGTGATGACACCAACAAAATGAAAATTGACAGATAATTGTAAAGGCCTGTGTTCAGACCCACATCAAAAGACACGAGTACGGGACATGGAGTTCTGATTCAGCAGCAGTAAGGATCTAGGTGTCTTATTTGAACATAATTTATTTGAACATAATTGGGTGTTGGACTGGGGTCCAGAGACTGGCATCCTAGTTCTCACTTAGCCACTGGGTGACTTTGGGTCAGTCACTGACTCTCGGCCTAATGAACCCTAAGATTGGAAGGAGGAGGAAAAGGAGGATTATGTAAGCAGCCTTGAGTTCCTTGAAATTAAAAAAGATGGGTTAGCAAATATAAAAAATAAGTTGACCATGTGCCAACAGAGCAATGTGGTTGCCATAAAAGCTGATGCAGTGATAACTGTGGCAAGCAATAGTCACCTTCTGTTTTGTCTGGTCATGTTGCCTCTGGAATAAATCTCCAGTTCTAGACACCATATTTTAAGAAGGGGAAGGGGAATGTAATTTATGTTTCCGTCAACCAAAGACATGGATATTTGCACCCCATTTGGTTTTGCCACTTTCTTCCAGCTCCCACAATTCTCTCTCTTCCTTTTCGAGAGATCCTGAAACAGGATTTTCTTTGGGGAAAAACATCAACTTCTGTGGGTTCTTGTGATTTTTTTTCCTATCGCATGAGAATAATTTTTCCTATTCAATAGCAATCTGAGGCATGTTCCTCTTCCATTTCCATTCAAAACCAATCTGAAAAGCTATAGTGTTTTTTCATAAGAACTGGACTGCACTGTCAATCCCAGCAGTCTTGTTTCAATAAAATATTATTGTGTACAAATCAAGAAACAGCCTGAAATGAGACAAAAGACTTTACACTGAAGTCTAAAGAGCAAAGTGATACACACTAAAATACAAAATCCTAACTTTGTATATCCTCTGAGGGATTTGAGGTGGCTGTGATTGATCAGGAAAGGGATCTTGGGCTTATGGTGGACAATTCAATCAAAACATGGCTTAATGTCAGCTGCTGTGAAAAAGACAGACACAGTGGGGATCATTGGGAGCTGAAAATAAAAATTCCAAAATTATAATGTTTTATACTGATCTATTGTGCAGTGGAAGACTTAAGACAGATAAAAAGAAGTATTTCATCACACAGATAATAGCTAAACTATGGCGTTTACTACTGAAAGATGTTGTGTTGTGCGATGGCTACCAACTGAGATTCAGAGGGGTTAGTCAAAGTCATGAAACATAAGGCTACCGATGGCTCCTGTCATGGTGGCAGTATATTACTTCCAATATCAAAGGCAATAAGTTTCTCAGTGCCAGTCAGTGAGGAACATGAGTGGAAGAGTGCTATTGCACCCAGGTCCTACTTCTGGTCTTCCCACATGTATCTGGTCAGTCACTGTGGGAGTAGAATGGTGGACTAGATAGGACTTTTTTCTAATCCACTAAGGACACAGACCCTTCCTTCTGTTGGCAAACCTCCTGCACTGTCCAACGAGCCTGAAACTTTACCATACTATGAGACAGTATGGTAAAACTGCTGCAAAGAAGGTGTGAGCTGATACGTGAAAGGGTGTCTTTGGAGGGGAACCCATGCTTGGCAATTTTTTGTTTTTTGAAATTGATACTACAAACCTCAGTGCTATTCCCACATCCATTACGTAAATGATCAGATTGTGTAAATCATTTCTTGAATGTCAGACAGTTTTAATTAAATAAATTCCAATACTCTAGATAAGTCCCAGTTCTGCATTCTTGGGAGCTGCAGACAACAGTCCAGACGTGTATTTTGCTGTACACTTTGACACCATCAAGTTCTATCATAAAGTTTGCAAGGACATCTTGTTTGGAGCATTATGTTCTCTCTATAGATAGATTGAGTGATAAAGAAAGATGCAAAAATCAAATGAGGAATACTTCTTCCCTATTTAATTTAAAAACAATGGAATGTGAGTTTATAAATTGGACAAAAATTTGTAGTGCTCTGTTGTCCAGAATCTGAATTCTACCTGCCAAGAACCAGATAAAGTTTCATTGTCGGATACATTTGATTCATAGGATGCCAGTTGCCTATTCTTACTTCTATCACAAACCAACACATCAAACTACTCGTTCACTTTACTATGAATTGCAGAAATAAGAACCCAGGTCTAGGAAGGTTACATGTAAAGAAGCATGTGTTTAGAGAAGTCATTTACTATTTCCATACAAAATAATTTAAAGTTCAGTCTTATCCCTGTTTTGACAGATAAAAGACCTAAAACTCTGAATATCCTTTGACCAGCATAGGTGGCTGGGAGCACACTAGGAGCTGTAGACTGTTTTTGCATCTAAATGTTCAAAGGACTAGGCCCTAAGATATTAAAAACTCATATTCAAATTAATCTTCCGGTATGGCCACAGATGCACACATACATCTCCTTGGGGGCCACATTTGAGAAATCTCATAATAAACATTCAGAAATATTTCAAAATACAGTGGCTTATGAAGTCAAATGGATCATTGCTTTCTATGACAGGATGCTAACATAGACCTGCCTATTTTGCTGGGAACAGAGATAACCCAGGTGACTGTTGGCCATTGGTTGGATCCATATTTAATTTTGAAAAGCACAACATATCTTTGCCCTCTCCTTCCAAGAGCAGCCCTTCATAGCCACCTGAAATGCTACACAAAGAATCAAGGCAGAAGATCCAGATGGATGGGGTGAAGTGTTATATAGAGGAAATCCCTCAAAATTGAGCAGAAAGGCTTTGCTTTCTGCAAACAGAGTGCTTCCTCTCAGAGAAGGTCCTTTTTCCTTGTAGAAAGCAGATCCTGAAAACACTCCCCTATAGCTGCATAATGATATGTAGACACAAATTAAAATATGCCACACGTATATGTTTGTGCCACCCGGAGAAAATAAGGCACAAGCAGCTAAAGTAAAGCATCCTTCCAGAATGAAATAATTCACCCACTCAGATTGGTGGAGCTGAGAAGTGCTTGCCTTTGGCTGGACAGCACTGCAGTAGAGGAACAACACTGTCGCCCTTTCTCTAGGATCAAACCGTTCCCTTTGCTGCCCCTGCTCCACTGTTCATACATACCTCACACTCTCTCTCAGCAAGTTCTGGTATCTCCTGTGTGCCTGATTCTACAGCATCCTTCATAAAACCAGAGACAGGATTAGAGTGCTGATGTCAGGCTTTTCACAAGAAAAATGTCCGTATTGGTAGCACCACATGCAAAGCATGCACAATAAGCAAGCAACGCTGCACAGCATGATGGGATGCAAGCCTGTTCAAGAGCTCTCAGGCCCAAGAAAAAAAGAAGGGTGGCTGCGAGGAAGCAACACTGGTTTGTTCCTCTGAGGATGATATGACAACAACAGCGATGAAAGAGGTTAATACAATGGCGAGACAAGTTAAAATCTCTACTGCGATTTTATAGCCTTTGGGTGATCTACATTTTAACATGCAAAGGACTGCTAGAGGATCTCCTGTCTGCTGTGAACAATGCAGTGAACGATCCTAGGAGACTTGGTTACCTATCATAAATTGCCACTGATGTAGAGACACCTGAAATATTTATTGAAACCCAGAGGACTAATGACTGCAAATTTTGATCCCTCCAACCTTTCCAAAACCAACACTAGGGAAGGACTACCCATGGGAAGGGCCACTCACTGAATAAGTAAGTAAGGAAATGACAGCCACACTATAAATAAATGACAATGGATTGTTTGTCACAGAGTTTTTATTTAAACGTCATTTTAATTGTTAATATTATTTGCTTATTTCATCTGGCCAGGGCGACTTATTTTATATTGTTAATCTGTTGTATGTATTATATTTTAATTTTATGTTGTGAGGCTTCGGCGAATGGGGCGGCATAGAAATGTTTTAATAAAATAATAAAATAAATAAAAATAAACCCCACATGTGCCCGATGGAAAACTGGGCTACCGTGGGTTGCTCTCCCGCTGCTTCTTCCCTTTGGGTCCTCCAGCCAGTGTTCCAGTGTCCTTTGCAGCAAAACCTGCCTTGTCTCATCCTGCACACTCCGATCTCTGTTCCCATTTCATTTGCCATGTCTTCTTTCTCAAAGCCTCTAAAATGTGCAATTGGGGTGGAAGCTTTTTTGGGCCCCCAGAAATGTGCACTAATCCCTTCCATTTTTAATACAATTATTTTTGTCATTCTTTAGACGTACACAGCTGTGCACATATGGCTGTCCAACATATAAAGTCTTGCCTTTCCCATCCATTTACTTCCTAGCTGTGAAATCTGCATATAGTTCCCAGTTTCAAAAAAGCACACATTTTCCAGCCAGTTGAAAAAGAAATCCCTCAGCAACAGTACAAAAACATGGAGCATATGGGGCACAAGCACCACCAGGAGCCCCCACCTCAATTTAGCCTTATTCACTCTTTCCCATTCAGCCCCTTTCACATTTTTTAAAGAATTGTCAGGGAATCTGAATAACCACAACACTAAGTGCTGCGAAAAGGAGCCACAGGTGGGCATTGATATCTGCCTGTCCTAGAGTAGCTGGAGACTCAGAAAAGTGTTATAAATGTGGACAGCACTGAGAACTCTCAGTTCAGCACGTGAGATCCAGAAGCTGATATTACTAAGAGGGAGACTTGTTGCAACCCTCTTTTGGGCAGCCCCCCCCCCCCCCGCATCTTTACCAGTGATAAAGGCAACTGTGTGAAATTTATCCTTGTCTTGGCTTATCAGTGTCTGTCTATGTGATGGCACTTCACTCCCTTTGACAGCTGAAACTTGCAAGGACATTGACCAGGTAAGATTATACATATTGGACAGCCATAATTGCACACTCCTGAAAGACAATCACTTTTCCCTCCCCAGAATTATGAAGCCATTTTGCACACATTTCTGGGGCTGAGTCTTCTTTTAAGGTAGCAAACCAGTGACAGTCACTTCAAAGTGCTACTTGAGCATCCGTGGAGGGGCTGACAGTGGTGGCAGCATGAGAGAGATCATGAAGAGTGAAGAGTTTTTTTTCGGTCTTGCTGAGCGTCTGGCTAGCTACTTTGGCAGAACCCATGATGGAATTGGTCTTCAGGTGAACAAGGGTTGTCAGAGTAGCTTGTTGCCCAAACATAAGACTGCAGGAAGCAGTCTGAATTCAGATGACAGACCACTGTGAGCACAAACCAACCTCAGCTGTTTTGGTTTCATTGCTTTTGACTAGAAAGAGGTTAAGCACATATTTAGCTTTAACAACCTTGGGTGAATTCTTCATTTGAGAAGAACTCTTAATATTACACAGTTAAGCAGTTGGAACACAACTATAAGATAGCCTGTCAAACGAATGCATGTGAATGCAAAAAATGTCAGGAGAATTTTAAATTATAGTACCCTCCCAGTTTGAGATCATAATTGCATTTTCTCCAACCATGGAAATGAGCTTCTGTGGACATCCCTTAAAGCTGATCTCAGCATTTTTTCATAAGGATGTTGTGTTACACATAATCTTTATATATCAATCTTATTTTTTTTTAAAAAAAATGCATTCTACTATTCCCTGCAGTTGCATCATAAACTCCAATCATGCCCAGATGCCTGGCCAAGCCAACTGCCAACAGTCATGCATGTTGCTATGGAAACCTCTCTCCTGTTAAAAATCAAAGTTATGTAACCTCTCTTTTTGTAACTTTCATTTCCTTTTAGAGCTGTCAGAAAAAAGGTCTTCAACTACCTTTATTTACTTCCCAAATATGAGTTAGATGCAAAAATACATCAATGAAAACCTTTATCATACAAATGATTTAGAATATGTGTGAATACATTGTATCTGAATGCTGGCCTATTTTAAGCACAACACTAAAGACTTTCTTCCCTACCACCTTCTCACACCTACAAAGAACAGAAGCAGCACCTTGAATTAGCTGCCATAGGAGCTGCTATGGAATGAACCATAGTTCAGTGGGTAGAGCATCAACTTTGCATCCAAACAGTCCCAGATTCTGTCCCTAACATCTCCATGTAGGTCAGGGAAAGACCCTTGCCTTGAGGCCCTGGACATCTCCATCAGCCCTGTCAGTATAGCCAACACTCAGGAATGATGGGAGTTGCCATCCCAAGCATTCATGGCATCTGCTTAGGGAAGGCTGGTATGAGCTGGATGAACCAATAGGTTGACTCTGTAAATGGATAGCTTCCCTTGGCCCTCCTTACATGGTTGCTGCAGAAAGCGGCAGTCCAGAAATTCCATTTCCTCTGGAAAACTAGCACTTAGAACATGCATGACAACGCTGCTCCACCTGCTGGGTTTCTCTGTCCAGCTCCATTGGCTACTGCTTGTACAGGTGGGTTAAGCTGCAGCATAATAAACCCTGATAGCAGCAGAGTCTTGAAAGTGGGCAAGTAAGAAAAGTGGGAATCCAGATGCAGGGGTGCTGAGTAAAATGAAAATGCTTATGTGCTTGAACTCATGGAAAACACACCAAATGTACCTGTGATCTCCAGAAAGCTTGCCTATTGTGGTACATGACATTATGGGGGAAGAAATGATGGAAAGATAAAGGCCTGCTGCTTTTGAGGCCAGCCCTTTGGTTCCCAGTTTAGTGTGGATGGTCAGATGTGGAGGATGATTCAGCCAATGACATTGCATAAAGCACCTTCTTAGTACCTTGCTGGGAACAGAATGATTGATCTTGGCTCTTTATTGCTGATAAAAATAAAGTAAGCTTTTGGATTATAGATCTTCCACAAACCATTATTCCTAGGTTTCTGAGGCTAATGAGCTTCCTCATCATGGTGACTCAAGGAAGAAAATCTACTTTAATTCATAGTGACAGACGAACAATACTTTGGAACCTGCTGAAAACCTGTAGCCTTGTCAAGAGTAAATACCACTGAAGTTGTGAAGTCATTAAAAGGCTCCTGTAGCCCAGGGTGATCCAAACATGAACCCTCCCCCATGGATCTTTCAGTTTCTTATTTCAAACTTCCAGAGAAATTTGAACAGTGTCAGCACTTATTATCAAGCACAATGGCCACATTTCAACAACGGCCTGAGCAGAAGCCCCACTGTTATTAATAATTGTTGCCTGAGCTTTTTAAGAACTGCAGATTTACCCTGAAGTGTTGGGTTTTCAGAGAAAGGAAAGCACCTTTATCCTGGAAGCACAAAGCACAGCCGGGCACAATAAGAGAGACAAAAGAACACAGAAGAGGGAAAGCGTGGAGTGCTGGTTCAAACGTGCCCTAAGCTCTCCTTGGCTTCTGCTGACACCAAATTTCAGACTGTTCACAAAATACCAAACAGCAGACCATACGTAGCATTTTTATATGTACATGCAAGGAGGCTCTGTGGGCCAAATGGGGAACATTTGCAACTCAGAGGTTCCCCATCCCCAGGGATGGGCTGGAACTTGAACACTGGTTTTGCTGAGCCACACTTAACCCTTCCCTACTTGTCCATCTGCCAGACCCCAGTGGAGATTGCTCCTTCTCTTGGGCCTCAGCTTCTGTATCAACCCATTCTGAAGCCCCATAAAGATGAAACTGGACAAGGTGGATGAAATGTAATTAATGTATGTATAAAACAACAAAAACTTTTGGATGAGTTTGAGGGCACATGAAGTACCAGTCACTCACCACAGCTTCAGTGGCTGGCTCACCAGCCTCCACAGACTGTGCATCTGGCTCAGCAGCCACCTCTGGTACACTTACGACTTCCTCCTCCTGGAGTTCTAAAGATGGAGCTTCTTCTGGCTCAGCCTTTTGTGATTGGGTTTATTATCATTTTTAGAAAGGTAAACAAATAACACTCAGTGAAGAACACCAGGAATTGTGGGACCACAGTCAGTGCAGCATTAGAACAATTCATTAACCATAAGATTTTCCGAGAAGTCTGAGAAGCAGGAGAAGCTTGTGCTTCTGGATCTCTTCAAAAGACATAAAGAACTGTGCATTTCCTCCACAAGAAGGTACATGCTCTCTTTGCACATCATGACTCTCTTGCACATGATTCTCTTCTTCCCCCATCCCCTTGGGCAAAACCACTGTACGGGGAAGCACAAGTCACTGATGTCTTGCTTCTCAATGCTTCCTTGAAACTTTCCAGGCAGCTGTTACATTGACAAATGGTAAATTAAAAAATCTTGTTTCATTGGAAGGCTAAAGGTATAGAACTCAGACAGCAGTGATAAAATATGCAGCTGTACACAGAGCTTTAGAGCCTTCATTTAAGACATGAATGCAGATCTGTCGTTGTACAGTTGCATAATAGTGTCCATACATAAATGGTTGAAACTGTTCTGATTTGCTCCTGACTTGTAGCTGTTTAAATGAAGCAAGCGTCATGTCATTTATCCTCTTGTACAGTTTAACTAGCTTCCATATGTTGGTGTGGTTGTACACAGTGCTGCATGCATGGTTTGTTCCATGGATACAGGAATGCTGAATCCCCTTCCTCCAGCCCATGCAAGAAAGTCTGCCTGCTTTGCCCATACTCCAAGCCTTCCATACATCATGGCAAGTGAAGGAGGATGGACCAGAGAACTCAAGTCAGTGGAACAGAAGTCCTCACAAGTAACAGAGAAGACCCTTTTTAACCAAAGATTAAAAACCAACAACTTACCATGTTATCTATCACATTCTGACTTGATTGCATTGCAAACAGGGAAGTATCCTAAGAACATACATAGGAGAAGGATATGCATAAATGCATAGAATTAAGGATGCACTGATAAAAGTTTCCTGAGAAGCTAAGTATGGACGACAAAATTATAATATTCTATACAATGTTTCTTAAATATGTATGTAAGGTTTTGAAAGACTGATGCAGTTCATTGCAGGCAAGTGTGGAGTAATGCACTTGGGGCAAAAAAAATCCCAACTTCAAGTATAAGCTGCTGGGATCTGAGGCAGCAGTGTGTAAGCAAGAAAGGATTTGGGGGTAGTAGTGGACAACTTGATCAAAATGTTGGCCCAGTGCACAGCTCTTGTGAAACAGGCAAACTCCATGCTGGGCATAATTAGGAGTGGAATAGAAAATAGAGCTGCCAAGATCTTACTCCCCATATAGAAGTCTTTGTTGTGACAGAACTTAGAATCATGTGTTCTGTTCCAATCACCTTGCCTGAAAAGTAGTGCAGAGGGTGAGAGAGGAAGGTAGAGCGCCATTTGGATGCGCCTATAAGCCAGTGGCTCTTCTCCTTCCGATTTGGCACATTCCTGCTACATCCGTTTCCTCCTCTCAGAGGCCAATTTGCTATTCAAAGAAGCAGCTGTTGTGGCTCTTTTTATTTTGGTTGGGGGCAGGGGGACAGAGGCAGACGGTACATCCAGTGTTCCAGCAGAGGTGGCAAGGCCTTGGAGCTGAGCCTCCAGAGCACCACTGTTGGGAAGCCATGCATCCAAAATCTTACATTAATTCGCTTACTGATACGCATTTATAGTCTGCCTTTCTACTTCAAGGTCTCCAAGGCAACATTCATCCATTTTGTTTTATCTATTTATTTATTCTGCATGGCCCTCAGACTGAATTATAGATGCTCGCTCAATTCCTAAGATGCCTACTGCATGTGAGCACAGAAGTAAAAATATACAAACATTTAAGATTCCGTTTGGAGTGGCAATTTGCAAAATATTTGGCTTTAGCCTTTCTTACAGGATAAAGTGGCGTTAACAAGGAAATGTTATCTGCATTTGATCTGCAAATGATTGCAATGAACCTTTTCCATGAAGGGAAAAATACATTAACTTGATAGGTTTTAATAAATAACTAAAGTGTATTTGTAAAAGAATGGATTTGATTAAATTTTCAGAGCAGCCCTTATTGAGAAAGATAATTAGTTTTTAGATTGCATTTTCATTTTGTACAGTGTTTGTTAAATAACTTACCTGACAAAGTAACTTCCCTGAAAAAATCTACCATACAGGTTTCCACATGACATTTGAAATTGATTTCAACAGTGAGAATATAATTCTTCAGTTGAATGGATTTAATCAAATTTGATTATATAAAATCAGCAGTTGAAGTAGTCCTGTCTCTCCAACAAGATCCCTGAAGCAGAGGGCCAAACAAGTTGTGACTTAACCACAACATTATTAATTGAATTTCAGTTAACTACAGCAATACGACAGTATCAAACACGGTCTCACCCCTGATGTTTCGTACTGAATCTGTAATTTACCTGGAAGCATTCCATACAGCTACTTCTTTATAGGAATGCAAGAAATATATTTCAGTTCCATTATTATACTCAGTGTGGACATATGTCAATAGGTTTGGTTACCTGTCCCTCACTAACAAGTTCCAATATAAATAGGTATGGGGAAGGCTTGCCCAGTCTGGTATTGTGGGAGAGGGAGAAAAATGTTTCTTTAGCCACTTTCTTCACCCCACACATAATTTTGAACAACTCTATCATGTCTCCACTTACTCATCTTTTTACTAAGCTAAACAGTCCTAGCTGTTATAACCATTCCTCATAGGGAAATTGCTCGCATCGCTTGACCATTTTAGTTGCCCTTTTCTGCACTTTTCCCAACTGTTTAATGTCCATTTTCAGGTGTGGCAACCAGAACTGTACATAATATTCTAGGTGCAATCACACCCAAGAAATATAAAAGGGGAGTATGATCTTGGCAGCATTTGTTTCCATTCTTTTCCTAATTATGCCTAACAGAGTTTGCCTTTTTCACAGGAGTTGTGCATTGGATTGACATTTTCATCAAGCTGTTAACCATGACCCCAAGGTCTCTTTCTTGAGCAGCCCAAATGCTTTTTTTCTTGTCACGCTACTTATAATGGTCGCATAGTAACTAAGGGGTTAAATACATGTCTTCCACGTGTTTTGAGCAAAAGCAAGTTTAAAAGAAGATATTAGAAGACCAGTGAACTCCTAAGCACATCTACTTAGAACTGCTTACTTCTACTGGGCTTACTTGCCCCATGGAATGCAATGAGCGGCAGTCAAATACACTTTCCAATAGGCATCCAAGCCAACCTATTTATCTCTAGATACACTCTGTGGAATTTAGCATAATAATGAGGAGTTGGTCCAAGAATACTTTAAGGATTTTCTACGGTCAGAAGGAAGGACTGAAGAATATAAAAATTTCCTGGACTTTCTTCTGTATTGACATGTACAATCCCCGATGACCAAACTACAAGGGTCTGTTATTTGGTGTTCTATCAGACACACATATACGGATTGAAAATATAAAATAAACCTGTGTCCAGAAGGTCAGAATCTGTACAGATACACCTGGAGGCAAATGTTTAATACCAGATGTCCTCAAAAGACTGGTAGTTCATGATGACCATGTACGAAAGTAACGGAATATTTTCTGCCATGACATTTTCTGTTACTAATTATTGCAAAATGCCAATGTATAGATTCACTATCTATGATGGCTGCAACAGCTGGTCTTGACTGGTACTGCCCGTCTCTCTCATGGTCAGCCAATGAACAAGAAGGACTTCTGTTTTGTCCTCAACAAGGTAAAATCATTTATCCTTTATCCCATAACTTTCTATACAATCCCTAATGGATCCTTTCTCAGACAAGACATGACATCTCTCAATTAAAACAGTTTCTTACCTGTGCAAATCCATTAAAAGCACTGCTGGGTGCCTAAGCAAAGTTGGAAATTGGAACAAGATTTGTATTAATATTATATTCACATCAAATTCTTGTTTGCATATTATAAAAACAACATAGGCTTTAAAAAACCAAAAGATGAAAAGCCAAGGGAGGGATTGAACATTCTGACAAGCAGTGTGAACTGATTACGTAACATGTTAAAAGGGTATTTAAAAAAAATACACAGATTAAGAATTTGAACATTCTGGAGATTAATATCATATTAGAAATCACAAAATTCAAAAATATATGGCAGGACATGGCAAAAAAAAAAAAAAAATCAAATGGAATTTTCAACAGCCAACCATTTTGTGGTCAACTTAGTATACTTCTGTGGTTGAGCTGTCCCAAGTCTGGTATGTTTTTATGATCACTACTGTTAGCAAACAGGGGCAGGAAGGAGAACATAGAAACAGAGTGCTCATAAAACACAGGGGTTTTAAATATATATATATGTTTGTATGTATATATATTTGACCTAAGGAACTCTCATTTCTAGACTATGCTACACACTGGGGTAGGTACCTCTTCTTTATCAGCCTCTATTTCCTGGTACAACAATCCATATCTCCGGTTAGCAATTTCATCTTCAGATAAATCTGAGCTGTTGGTCTCAATTTCTTTGGGGCTACTGGAGCTCTCCGTGCTAGCATTTCTGGAATTTCCCATGTGGAACAGAGCCAACGGCCTACCTATCTCCTTGTTTGGTCCACAGCTGCTAACATTTCCCTGCTCTCTGATAGATTCTTGCTTTAAAGGTACCTCCTGATTCCAATGGCTTGGTGTTCCACCCACAGCTGCCCAGCAGTTATCTAAACCTCCCAGATCTTGCGTAGACCATTGATCATTAAAACCTGGCCAGGGATTCTCCACTTTTCCATCCACAGAGTCTTGTGTGGGAGGAAAGGGCCAGTTATCATAGCCATTTCTCTCACTGGAAGCCTCCCAGGAATCAGGACTAACAGTTGGATCCCAATTGGCCTGCCAGGGATCTGCTTCCAACACCTCAGGAAAGCTAGTGTTACTATTAAGTTCTTCGGCTATGGAAAATGCTTCCCTGTCTACACATTTATCTTCCACATTGCCAAGCCCGGAATTATTGAGATTTGCATTAGCTGCATTTGCAGACCCAGGCTGCAGAACCATGTCCTTCTCAAAAGGTATAAAGGTAGCTTGACATTCACCCGCAATATCATTGCTTTGAGGGATGCTGTGACTATGGTCTTCAATCTCTTTACAAGGCTCTTCACCACCTTGTAACTCAGCACAACACACAGAATTTCCAACTTCAGCAGTTGATTTGTCTCTGACATTAAGGTCAGTGAATCCTGTAACATGGGCCATTTCACTTTCCTGCATGCCTTCTATGGATGTATTCCCAGCAAAGGACAAGTCATCCACACACACCTTTCCATGCTCCTGATTCCAGGGACCTAAACTATTTCCAGTTTCAAACCTACTATGATCTACACAACCCAACCCTATGTTTGCTACCTCATCAGCATCTCTTTCACCTGTCTCCTGAATCAGAGCAACACCATTACATTCTAGGCTGAATTCCTGAAGGTAACTGCCAGCTGTTGTCTCTGGTTGCTCATTATTATATTCTGGATCCCTTATAGTTTCTGCATCAGGGCTTTTTAGGTTGCCATGCTTTGCTTTTGCTAAGACCTCAAGATGTTCTACTTCACTGTAGCCTTGACTGTCACAATCTCTCTCTTCAAAATCCTCTGTGCAGTCTAGTTCCTTGAGATTAACATCTCTGGTTTCTACCTTTTCACATGGCTCCTCATTTGTACACAAAGACTCTTCCATTTCCTGTTTCTCTTCTTCTGTCTTTTCCACACTAAATGGAGCTCCATCCAAAAAGCTATCAGTTCTTACTGCAGGTGTCTCAACCATAGTTTCGCTCACTAAAGTCTGGTTAGTCTCCACCAGATCTGTGTCACTGTGCGCAAGGTGGCTAGCGTCCAGGTATGCTTCTGGGAAAGTGGCTGGATTGTCATCTAAAGAGGCTGTCCAAGATGCACCATCCTCTTGCTCACCTACTGCAGGCCAAGCAGTAGTAACCAGTGCAACAGATGAGTCTGCTGAGGTTTGCTCTGACTTGGGGAAAGGCAAAGGAACACCTGAAGTTTTTTCCTGGCTCTCACTGGCTGTACTACCATCTAGGCCAAGGTTGAGCAAACCTAGATCACTTTGGGGTTTGGTAACATCTTCTGTTGACCCACTGTTTGGGTTTTCCTCCATGACCAGGTTACACAGGGAAAGACTTTTTGAAGAATCAGGCTTTAGGCAGACAGAAAAGCAAAGGAAAAAAAAACAAGATGAAAAAGATAAAGGTGGTCTTGATGAGATAAACACAGCATTCAATATTTTACTACAGTAACTTTAGAAATGAGCCCTGACTAAGTTAAAGAATTAGCACAACTCTTTTCATTTGTGGAAGCAGCATACAGTTGGAGACATTCGCTAGCTCTCTAAAGAGTAGCTCTGGCAGGTGAAATAGAGAAAGTCTGCTTACCGGCTGCACCAGTTCACTGCTTGTCTGTGCGGAAGGAAAATATATGCATAAAACACAAATCAACATCTTTGGCTGGCAATTTTACTATGTCAGTATAAACAATCCATGGTTTATATCCTATGTTTTATTCCACTATTGCAAAAATTCTACAGCTAGTGGAAACCCATTTTTTATCCTCATACAATAGTCAAATCCAATACTTAGATTTCATTTCCGCAAGGCATTGCACAGCTCATTATGACACTACTGGGCTAAATGTTGCCTGCACTTATTGTGTGAGTTCTGCTAGTGGTTGTGAAACCTCTAGCAAAACAATAACAACTGTTAGTGTAATCAACATAAGCCAATGACTCCTTGGGCAAGATGTTATCACATTACTGGCTGATTAAGAGCCATCTAATTACATCCTCTGGAATCTCCTCTATATGTACAGATGGCTTCATATAGATCATTCCAGTTAAGCAATTTAGAAAGGATTTAGAGGTACTACTGGTGTCAACAGATGTTCTTCTCATGCAATCATGCCAGTCCGTATTGTATAGCTGCAATCAGAATTAGCATTGCACTTCCAATTATCAAATTTGCAGATGGCCACCACTTACATTACCAATCACCTGGATATCCCCACTGTGAAAGTCTCTTACAACTTTGAGTGTAGTTAGAATGTGGACTTTTAGTTCAATTTTCCACTTGCTTCCAGAGTTCGCCCAAGATAGCCATTGTCTTTCAACAGCACAGGACTTTTATGAAGTAACGATGGCATCACTCCAAGTATGATTCGATGAACAACTTCAAATGTGCTAAACAGAAGTCCCAGTCTAGGATTATGTATTGTAGTAGATATTGAAGTTGACAGCTGATTCAAACTAACAGCTTGACATGGATCAATGAATTAGTAATTGAGTTGAAACTTTTAAGGTAGCCAATGAAATGAATTATCTTCTTTCACTAAGTAACCCAGGAATTCCTAGCTTGGAGTTCTTGCTGGTGGCTGGACACAGATAACACTTTTATGAAGGCTGAAAATGTTTTGAGATATTAGCTTAACTGCACATTTCCTTCATCCCACCATCACAGTTGGCTGAACAGATTTTGTGGGGTTTTGAAACAATACAAAAACCTGTAAAGTCTGTTTCCAAACATAGGTGTCATGAGTCACCATGAACAATCATCTTTTTCAAACCTCCTTCAGGTTTTTGGCAGAATTACCATTCCACTCCAGACCTAAAAACATCAATTGAACCAAAGCACATTCAGATGGAAATCACTGCCACAGATAAGCACTGATCACTTGTCAACTCTCATTAGAAGCTAGTATTTTCTAATATGAAATTGATCAATTCTATGGATTAGCTGCATCTATTGATTCGTTCAACCCTGATGAAAATTACCCACATAGAAGTCATTAACAAATCCTAGGCTAGTAAGTTTTCTCTACCATCCCTCTGCCGCCCGCTACCACCTTTTATCAGTTTTGCTGGCTGCAGGAGCATCTTCATCTAACAGAGACAAATGATGCCCAATTCTTGAAAGCCAATCTATTTCTGTACATGAGTCACCCAATGTGTATTTATCTTCTCTGCCACTTTGAAAAGACTTCAGAACATCCACTTTATGAGACTTATACAAACATTACAGAGTTTATCCCCTTTGTGGTTTGTACAGGCATTACAGAATCCTTTTGGCTTGTCCTAGAAATGCAGGCAAAAATGGATTTAATTGTCTTGGGGTTGGGCTAATGAATATTACAACACATAAGCAAACAGAACTGAGCTGTGACTTCAGCTCATTAGATTTGTTTAGTGAAAGTTTTAAGATTATTGAACTAAAGCAATTTGATAATAAGCAAAGTCAGCTGCAGATGAACATTCAAAAGCAAGGATTCTAGTCAGTGTTAATATACTACAACACAGAAGGTTAATTCAAAATAATTCAAAATCGAGATAACACTATTGTCAGGATGTGTTTTGGATTCATCCCTCCATATAGGTGCAAATATGCCTGTAATCATTATAAAACTACAGTTGTGATTGGAGTGACCTTTAATACACAAACTGAGAAAATAATTTATGTTCACAAACTTATTTAGATGAGCAATAGGAATTTATTCAGGAATACAACAGGTGTGGCTCACACATAATGGTAACACATAATATGGGTTGTTGAATTCTGGGCTATTGTGATGTGTGAACACACCTGAACTAACAAACCATAGTTTAGTAATCATAAACAATATAAAAACAGAAGCCATGGTTTGTTGTTGGGTTGTAAATTATGGCTTATAAGCCATGGGTTGCTGTTACATGCAAATCCACAACCTTGAGTTCTTCTTGGGTTATTTTGCCAGACTACAGAGGCAGTGGGCAAGAAAGGTAAAAACAAAAATGAAAAGCAGGCACTCTATGTGCTAGTACTACAATTCTGCAAACTCATTTGCTATAGAGGAAGGGGAAAACAAATACAGAGATTGACCAAACAAGCCACGATTTGTTCAGTTATCTAGCTGGCAAATCTTGAAAACCAAGGACTGGCACTATATACATGCCAGGCAGTAAATATGCCTTGCTTTTCCTTGTGAAAAATCTTTCAATATGTTATATTTTACACATAGCAAGACCAATTTTCTCTACACATATTTCATCTCTCTACATAAAGTTGATCTCAATTTTTGAGACTCTGTCCCATACCTAACAAACATCTAAATATATATAGCAGCATTTATGCACAGTCACCCATTTGTTTCTCTTTCCACTCCCACCCTCTACTGTCAAAGTTTAGTTTGCAGGATCCTTCCCTTTTTTCTGATCCCAAAAACCCTTGTATATGAATGATGATATGGAAACAAACATACAAAGATAACAAATACATTACCGTCCATAAATCCCAAGGTAGCGTCTGAGAAGAAGGGAAAGAAGGACAGTGTTGAAAACTTCATTTGAACACCATTTACTGTGCTGTAAAGCATAATTACATAGTAGTATGATTATTCATGAAGTTGACAGATTTAGACTCAGCATTCTTTTGGGAGATGTGGAAATATATATTTATGATATATGTCAGTTCTTTATCTTTTTTTGTCCAAAGCCCCAGGAAAAAGGGATTCTGACTCTATAAGGCACCATTCTCCAGGAAGTCCATCTCAACAAGCACGACTGAAATGAACAGGAGCTCCTCGAGAGCATTACTGAACATCTTAGTGCCAATCTCACCTATTCCATGTTTAGGGTAAACCATGAATGCAACAAGAACTCATTATCAAGAGCTTGTATCTTACAGAGATGCTTGTCTGGATCAGCTGCAGCTCCTGTTGAAGGCCATGTCCATGGCCAAGCATGGTTGTCAATGGAAGGTGTGAACTGACTCTCAATTTGACAATATATCAAACTACAAGGGTTTTCAAAACAACCACATTGCAGATTCCAGTGGGTAGCATAGTGATGCTACAGTATGATTCAGGACCCAGTTGAGAGACTTCTTGAAAGGTACCTGTTTTCCATGAATGAGCAAGGCTGCCAAATTTTTCACTCACATCATGTACTAAGAACCAGTTTGCGCACAGACAACTGCTTTTCTTTGTGATATGCTGTAAAGTACCCTCAACAAAGCTGATGCTCAGCTTCAAGGAGCCTTCATAGCTCATGCACAAAGAATGGTTACTTGGATTGCATCAACACCTCTTCTTGATATGCTAAACAGTATCAGATATACCAGCACCTCATTTGCATCCAAGACATCTGGGTTTGCTAATATTCCACACCAAGTTTAACGATTTAATCTCCCACCCCTTCCTGATGCTCACCAAAACATGCCACTGTCTTTGAGCTCCAAGTGAAGCCATATTCTACAATGTATTCTAGAATATTTAGAATGTTCTAAACATATTCTATTATGCAAATTGAGATTTACATTATTTTGTTTACTTAATACATATTACAATTGTTTACACTGCATAATGGGCTTCCCATTTTAAAATGGTTTTGGCTGATTTGTTCTGGTTTTGCAAGTCATGATTATCTATAGGTAAGGATGTGAATAACACACTTACTTTGTTCGCATATTATGGCAAGTACCCAGGGGTGAATTTCCCTGTGGAATATTCTATTTTGTATTTTAAAACTGAAATTATAGCAGATATGCACTATGGGTTGCTCTAATGAGCAAACCTGATTTTGCAGGAGGTACTTGGGGGTGTGGGGGGGGGGTGTTAACAAGCTACCCAGACCTCATAGACTGTTTTAAGATTCCAGGGAGCTTGTTAAACCCTACTGGAGTCATAAGAACTTTATTTATTTATTTATTTATTTATTTTTCAATTTATATCCTGCCTTTTTCCTACAAAGGTCTCAAGGCAGCTTACATCATTCTCCTCCTCCATCTTATCCCCACAACAACAACCCTGTGAGGTAGGTTGGGCTGAGAGTCTGTGATAGCCCAAAGTCACCCACTTGGGTGTAGCTGTGACATGTTCCCATTCTCCACTGCATCTGAATTTTCAAAATGGCTGCAGGTACCATGACAAGAAACTGCATGTGGAAATTCACCCAAGATAGCTTCTCATTGCATGTAGACCAGCTCACCAAAGCTCCTCATTTAATCACTGGAAATCTTATTCAGACATCAGAAGACTTTGCCCACACATATTCAGTCATCTGCTAGTAATCATAAGGGCTAGAAAGTTTCTTTAGTTAAAAATAATGAAATATACTATACACAATACACTGCTTTCACTGAAGTGCAGCTTAACCAAGCCCAGATTGTGGTGTGATGTAATGTAATGTGTACTGGAAAGAAGTATTTTTCAAACAAGATACCTGAGACATTGGCGAATGGGTCACTGCAGTTGATGCAGCATCAGGCTTGAAAGGATCAAAGTCCAGATCTAGCAAGGACTCTTCTTTTTTCGTTTCAGAAACTTCATTCTGTTATAAAACCAGTAATGAATTTCAATCACTTTTGAAAGTCATGCTTTGGTGACCGTTTTGATTGTCAAATGCAAAACTCAAATGTATGGTGTAGCTACAGGGTCTGCAGGTTCATCACATGCTATGCAGAGTCTAGTCTGAATGTTTCTGACCCTCTTTCCCACTTCAGCTAGGGACTCTGAACATGCAGACGCTGCGACGGCGTTTTCTCTCTGCACTCCACTCACCATTCTCACCTCTAAATATGCTTCTTACAACATCTTGCCTGAGGAAGAGATCAGGAAGTGTCAGAAGTGTTTTAGAATTTAGTAATATGTAACACTAGCATGTAATTAGTAACACTAATATGAATTTTGGATATGGATGTGTGTGTGTGTGTTTCATGGTTGACACTGGGTGCATCTGTTTACATGTAGCAGCTCATCTGTTAAATAAACCATGGACTATTGGAGATGACAAACCATGACTTAACCTCTGGATCGTTTAGGCCGTTAAGAAACCATTGGTCTGGTTTCATGCACCACACCCAACAACCTACAAAGGAGCTGTTTGTGGGCTGTGGAGTAAAACTAAAATTGGTGGGCATGGGGATGCTCACTCTCTCCCACTCAAATGACATTGGTTCTTTTTCATATAATTGAATTTGCCACTATACATTTTAAAAGGAAGTTGACTGGAAATTAGTTAGTTGCAGCTAAAAAAGTAATGGGCTAGAAATTAGAAAAAGCTGCACCCTACATAAATATATCCTAAATATAAATAAATATATATACAGCATAAGAATGGCTGATCAAATGTCCAGAGACAGTGAAAATGCACAAGAGTGAAAAATCAACAGAGAATGGGTACTACAGATAAATGGAATAGTTTAATTATTTACTGGAATGATAACTGGCAAAATAATAGGTTAGATAGAAATCCTTTTATTGTAAAGCAATTCTGCTTTCTTTTTTAATTAGTTGTTTTAGTTAGATTTTTCTTTCTCTGTTACACTTTTGCTGGGGTTGTTTTTGTTTTTAATATAACGTTGCATAAATTGTCACATCAAATGCCTTGCTAAAATCATTTTAAAAAACAACTTAAAAGTATAATGCCATCCTTAGCGCTTCAGATTCCATAGCAGTACGCCTGCATCCATGAATTCAAGTCTAAGAACTTTGACTTTCATTAACAATTGCAACATGTAACTGTTTTCTCCTTAGTGTATATATTAACGTAAGTAACAAGGCCATAGGAATCATGGGTGTGTAGTTACTGGCCTTCATCTTGGGCTAAGTTCTAATTGAGGCTCACTCAAAAAACTTATGGAGCATTTGAGCAATCTGCTATCTTGCTGCCTAACCTCCTTCACAGGATGGTTGTAAGAATAAGCACAGATTATCTGAGTACACCACTGTGTATGTCCTAAACTGATGGTGTTTTTTGAAGACTGGAACAAGTATTTTCCATTCTTGCCTTACCTGTGATGGAGTTGTCACATTTATTTCTGGAACAAAGTTGTCATCAAACAAGCTAATAATGTTCTCCTGTTGCAGTTCTTTTGTCGGTGTGAGTTTAGGCAGCGGTGGAACAGGAGGCCCTTTCCTCAACTAAAGAAAGAACAAACATGTTGGGAAATAAAAACTTAGGACAAATGCACGAAAACTGATCTGGGCTAGGAATAAAAGCAAACATCAATTTGTCAATGCAATTAGCAATACTTGGGGCTAAATATTCCTTCATACATCTGACTTTAAACTTCTAGAATTATTCAGGGTGTTCCTGTATTTTAAGAGCAACAGCATCACCCAGATAAACATCAAGATACAATGGGATCTATTATATTTCTGCTTTCAGTACTCCTAGCTGTGTAAATCTGAAAAAGTTTTAAACAAGAAGGGAGTTCAGTAAAAGATAGAATTGCACCTACTTCAGGTCCCTCAAAAAAGGTAGACCCTCTTGTAATACATAAAATCAATTAATAACAATTTATATTATAGAATTATAGCATATTTGTTATAGAATTATACAAAAATGTCTGGCTATTACGGTCAAATACACTGCTTCTAATTATAGTGAGTTGGGTCCAGAATTATTCACACTTAAAGTAGGCCAACTGAAATCAGTGACATCTATAGAGTTGTTACTAACTTACGACCTATTAATTTCAGTGGATCTACTCTAAGCATAATTAGGTTTGACTCCAACCCTCTAACTCTGAAAAATTGAAGAAATGTAAAAATATGAAGTTGATCTGGAGACCATGTAATCTGTTGTGGCTTTTTGAGAATAAAATGAATAAAGTTGAGAAGATGTGGACTGTAGAAGCCAGCTTGGGTTCCCAGAAAGGGGCCAAGGCAGAATTTAAATATAACAATAAATGTTAAAAATCAAGGTAAGTTTACTCAACAGGACTAATTCTCAAGTTAGTGGGTATGGCAGCCTAAGTTGCTCCTCCATGTATGCAGGATGGTTTTTCCCCCTAGCTGTTTCTTCCTCTGCTGCATTCCACATCATCCCCAGGATTCCCTAAACCCCAGGAACAAATTTGCATGGGAATACAGGGAGCTGAAGAGGGAAGTGGCCAGCAGACACTCTCTGTTCTTTAAATATGAACTCTGTTCCATTAATGGAAACAAAGCTAAGATCTAAGCCATTGGACTGTAGAGGACTACAGTATATCTTTAGATATATGGGAGAGGATGTATTTGATCCCAATAGATAGCTGTTTTGTGAATGTATGATACATATTTTGTCATTAATTGGACAATATTAATACATTTTGTCTTATTTAATTAGGCTCCCACTTTTTCATCCTTTTATATTTCTCTCCCAACCTGTCAACCACCCTTATGCACATTTGGAAGAAACACAATGACAGTAAACCTTTCTAGAACAGGTTCACTGTCTGCTCACAGAACAAGATGCTCTCAGGATCCTGTGAATGGAAATGGAGGGAAGAGATTTTTCCAAGTTATTTAAATTGTTCATATTCGATGATGGCAACCTTCTGGACTGTGGGAGAATGGCTAATCAAAGGAGGGAAATGACAGTCTTTGACAGTGGGAGCTTGTTTTGCATGCATATCTGTGCAGGACACAACAATATTACGCGTTTCAGCTGGTTGTCAGCATTCCAGCCAGCATCTCTCCAGCTGCAGTGAGTGTGCTGTGCTGACACATTTCCTACAGACTAGCATAGAGCCAGTGACAAAAGAAATCACATCACATTTACCCTGCAGGAAAGGAAATTATATTCCTTTTATATCAGGAGGATAAAAATAGCTCTGGTAAATCCGCTGGTTGGACTGATGCCAGATGCAGTCGGCTGCTTTTAATTCAGGCTGCAGATACTTCAACATAGTAATAGTAAAGGAGGTAACTGTCCTTTTCTTTACAATATAGAGAGATGATTTGAAATATTTTTTAAATCCCTTTAGATTAAAAGGCAGAGAAGAAAGAAAAAAATTGGTTGCCTCTCAGCACACTGGGGGATCAAGAGCAGGGAGAGAAGCGGAGATAGGCAAATTCCATCTTCTCCAGTCTTTCCCAACACCCCCCTCCACCCCACAGCTGTCAACTCTCCCATACCCACTGGTTCCTTCCAGTTTTGCAGACAGGAAAGTATATCTAAAATGGTGCCAGTGACCTTATATAACTGCTAAAGCTTCTTGGATGATGCACTACAAAAATTTTCTCAGGTGCTCTAGGACAGAGAGGCCATCCTACAGATTCTTCCCTGACTAGCAAAGGAAACAGAGGAGCAAGACACATGGCTGCCACCTATAAGCACAGTGCAACAGGAAAGATAAATAGGGGAGAAGAGCATGTGGGAATGAGACTCTGCTCACTTCTGGTCAAGATATGACAAAAGCAGAGGATAAATCCTCACTTCCCACAGCCGTAACAGAGGATTCATTCAATTTAATGAAAAAAGCTAGCTTGGAAGATCCAAAGACTCCATGTTACAAGAGTATCCCTGCTTCTTGATTTCAACTATCCAGACCTGCAGTGTTTTTCAAAAAGTGTCAATACATATTTATTACGCTTGCATAAATGAGCCCCAGCCTTTGGAAAAAATGTGTGGGTTGGAAAACTACACAAGGTCGGGCCTGGTTGAAATCTGGACGGGTGATTTAAATGTGAACTGCAAAGAAATGTAATATAATAATAATTCTGGCTAAAGCAATCACCCTGTGCAAATATGTCCTAGTACTGTGTTCCTATGTCACATCCGGTGCTGCAGCATTAGCTGGACTTGACCGCTGAACCACGTAATTCAGATGGACAGAAGAAAATGTTCTGAAAACATTGCTACACAGGTGTCTGATTTAATAGTAAAAATACTTGTTTTTGAGTGACCATTGTTCAGTATATTCTTATTAATTGACCACACAGCTTTTAAAGAACTAATATTGTTTCCATTACACATTGATTTCATTTAAAATCAAAGCATGTGTAGCTTTTACACTCTTAAGGGGACATTCTCTGGCTTTGGGATCAACAGCAGCATCCAGTTCAGGAGATGAAGCCTGAAATTGCCAGGTCCGAAGGTCACAGAATCCTGCATCCTCCTTGCCCATAATGGGGCATTAAGTAAAGGAGAGAATGAACCTCTGACCCCTGGATATCATCTGAGGGGCTAAGGGACAGTTTGGATTTCCAGCTCCAGGCTTGGAGAAAGCCGTCTCAGCTCAGAACAGGGCATTTGGGGGAAAAGTCCTCACAGCCAAGGATGCAAGGTATTTTGACAATATTCCAGATGTTTATTATTTATTTATTTAGGAGATTTATAGGTCGTCCATCACTGTCATCTCTGGACAGCTTACAGTGTATTATAAATCCTAAAAAAATAAATTGGCTACACCACGACTGAGTATAAAAATGACATGGTTAAAATAAATTAAATAAATAAATGTACAATTAAAATTGATTAGCTTCACTCCCAACTGTTTCACTCTGAGTTACTCCAGCTAGACTGGTAAAACAAACCCATGAAATGACAATGTAGGACAAGAACTCTGGAAAGTGCAGATTACATCCACCACTCTGCTCCCACTGTGCATTGGGATCTTATAAGTCTCCCACCTCAGGGGCTTAAGGGCTTCCTGACAGAATTGTGCCCTTAGAGAGCTTTCCAAAGACCACAGAAGTTTGTGGAGGGGCTCCTCTGAGGCCATAGTCAATGTTAAGGCATCAGGAGGAGAAATCAGAATGGGGAGGTTTCTCTGCTGCTCCTCCAAAACACCACAATTGCTGCAGAAAGCACTATGTTGACTTCCCCACCAGAGGACAGAGCTCCAACCTTGGGTAAAGATGCAAATGAAGGGAAGGGGTGGGGCAGGATGGTGCTAAGGATCCACAAGATCCTAAAACCTCATAGATTTTGCTCCTGCCCCTGCTCTGCAAATCTACTAGAGATGTCCAAACCATATTAAGTGGAAAGGAAAGGCAAAGTTTGCTTCCATTGCTCCTCCTGCTCTGCTGGGGATCTTCTGGTGAAGCACAGAGTACTCCAACATCAAAGCACTCCCTCAGTACCTGTAGGATTGCTTTGCCCAGCACATGAGTCCAAAACATATAGCAAGGCGATGGAACACCAAGCAAATCATGGAGGTCACGAGCATATGACCTGGAAGACCTCAAAATAGAGTTCATCACTGGCTCATCTGCTGACTGGACACATCCACCACGAAGCCCAATATAGTTTGTGGAGGCCCTTAATGTAGAAAATCGCTGTAAGGTACACCTGCAAGGATGGTCCATTCTAAGCATAGCCATAAACCTTAATGCAAATGCTTCAATATCACTTGTTAATTCAGCTCATACTACCTGTGAGGGAGATTTCGGCCGTGCTGGTGCTGGAGAAGGTGGTGCTGCCAGTGTATGATTTGGACTCGCTACAGGACTAAGCGGAGGTGAGGCCTCTTCGGGGGGTGATGGTGTTTTTGCAATACGAAGTGGACCTGAATCACTAGTAGAAGGCAAAGTACTATGTTATAGTATTTAAAAACATTACTTTTAACATAATAAATTGCTTTTCAGCATCAACAAGAAACATACATGTGCATTTCAAAGTATATGAGTTTCGACTTACAAAGGATACATTTGCTCCATTTATGTTCTTTTTAAAATGGATTAAATCCTAGAAACCAATCATATATTTCTTTAGCTATATATTTTATAGAAACTTTGCTTACCAGAAATCTGAATTTTTTTCACTTATAGGACATCTGGTATTCAACATATTCATCTGTTATCTCTTGAAGGCTCAGTGTCATGTTCTAAATCATTTCTTGTGTACAAATATTTTACGTATAATGAACACCTTTCATGTTCAGTAAACCCAAAAGACTTTTGTGAATGCCACAAATAGATTTTCACACACTTTTCATGTGATTTTGAGAATCACATTTAGATGACTATTAATATTCAAAAGTGTACCTTTTTCATTCAGGATTTTCACTGAGGATATGGGATTGTTAACTTTCATATTTGTATGTCAATATTAATCAGAATTTGGACATTTGTGATAAAATATTAGTATCGACACACACATGTGTGTATCAAATCTATTATTGCTATATATATTACAGCCACAACACACATTAATCACAATATATATATCAGAGCCATAACAAGTTATGTCATATAACTGGAAGGGACATTGTTAGAACTAAAACTAACACAATCCATTGAACCAGATTTTCAGTGACCATTGCCAGTGTGATTAAATAACAGAAGCTGGAGAACTCAACATCTAGGAATCATTCTGCTGTCTAAGAACAACTAAGGTCTACATTTCATAGAAACAACAGTGTCAGATCTTGAAGATGTGGATGACTATTGCATTCTATAAGCATCTCTCCCAGTAAGAGAAGACACAGTCGGTGGCATCTTCATGGAGAACTAAAGGAGTACATGATTGACTGGATCTCAATCATGTCTGCTATACTAAAGCTAAGCAACATTACTATTAAACTAGGATATATCTTAGTGTTCACTCACCACCTCTTTCTGTGGAATTTTTTTTAAAAAAAGAAAGATGGATACATTAACCCTTTTTTCCTATTTTATTTCTCTACATGCTCTTCAAAGGAAGTATACATTTCTAGGGCTGTACCAAAGGTCCTTCAGTTAACATTTAGGGTGCAAAATGAAGGCATTGGAGGGGATGCAACATGTTCATCAACTCACCCATTCATCCTCCATCTTACAAAAATGTAAGCCTTTTTGATGCTGCACATTTTTTTCCTTCTTTAAACATTTTCCTGACTGCACAATCCCAACCAATCTGGATACTGATATTATCATGCTAGCTCACATGATCTCATGACAATGATGGTAACAAAACATCACACATCAAGCCAGATGTGCCTATGGCAATTTCACAGAGTCAATTGACAGAAAGTCTTTGGGTCTGGGGAGGAAGCTTCACTGCAAATACTTTTGCAACCTCCCAGAAAAATAATTTTTAAAATAACAGGACATGTTTTATTTAGTGGAGCAGACAGAAATCTTTTCAAACTACTCCCCTCCTTTTGGCTTAGCTCTGACATTTTCAAATATCCTACAGCTGCCTATGCTATCTATTATTTAATACTGTCATAGCAAACTCGTAGGCTTTGGGTTGGATTCAGATTTATGCTGAATCATCCTTGGAAGCAAGCGCCCCCTTCCCATGGAAAAACTTCCAGTCCCCGAAAATGCTACATAGATACCAGTTTTGCACAAATGTGGGTGGCGCTGCCCAATTTCTCTAACCTCACATGACTTGTTGTGACAGGGAACCCTAGCAAGGGTAGGTGGCTCTGATGATTAACAAATTGGAGTCCACATTCTGTTGGTGTGGTGTTGGTGGTTTTTTAAATATCCCAGTCACCCACACTGGCCAGGTCCACAGGTCATAACAAACCATACCTGGGATGTGAGCAGCATTCATAGGTTCAACTAACAGGCTGCTGCAGCTTATTAGCCACCCTTGGGTTGTCAAAAAGTCAGAGACGCTGCCCAATTGGGCAAGCTCTTGAAGTGGAAGGGGAGCTTTCAAAATTAGGAAGAGGAACCTTTGGAGAATGAGCCCTTCCTTTTGTGAAAGACATATCCTGGATCCAGCCATCTGTGTAGACACTGAAGGTATTCAGCAAGGATCCACAGATATGATTTGGAGGTTAATTTATATAGAAATATGCTACTAAAACAAAAAGCACTGGGGCTGCTGTCACAGCACAGCAAAAACAAAACAACCTTCCTTAAAGACAATAAACTGGGCCAACATCCAGTTCCAATTGCTTAACATGAGATGACGATTTTGAGCATATCCACATAAAGCAAACTTGGAAATTTGACGCTGAAAGAGAGAGACAACCCCAGGTGACAGCCGGGATGCCAGTTCAAGGTGGTGGAAATGATAAAATGAAAATTGGCTCCAGCAGGATGAAATACCACTTCGTACTAACAGTAATTACACTTTGCTTTTGTGAGGTGAGCACAGTATACCATTTCTGATCCCTGTTCAATATAACCTACTAATGAAAGAGAATATATGCAGCTTCCTATTCAGGAAAATGCACTTTCCAGGAACTGGAGCCCTTTCCTGTCCCCAGCCTGTTACACTCTGGTGTCCTTTGGATGGTTTAGGCTACATCTTTCAGCATTCCTGGCTATTGGCAATGCTAGCTGAGGCCAATGCTAGATGAAGTTCAAAACATCCAAAGCCAGCAGACTGTGGAAGTTTGTCTAGTTTAATGCCAACAACAGGGCCAAATTGAAGAACAGCCGTCGTTTCTGAGACCTGTGCAGATTGTGTAAAAAAAACCTAAATGTCTGAATTCCAGAACTGTCAAATTAAGGCAGGTTACTTTTGTATGGTATTGTTTATTTTAAAACACTTATATTCCACTTTTTCATATCATTTTCAAAAGCAGTTTTCAATGTAGACAAAGACATGGAAGAAAAGAGTAGGTGAAAAAGTTTATCTTTAGTAAAATAAACGAGGGAAATGGCTTAGGCTATTTCTGGTGTGTCAGTTGCATAAGTGTTTGTTCATAATTCTACTCTTCTGCATTGATCTGAGAATGTGTTTTGAACCTCTGCAAAAATGTGTACTTCAGCATCTATTTTTTCCACAAAATATATGTCATTCTGTACTGTATTTCTACGTGCGTTTTATCCTAAGATATACCTTTTTAACATGTACTGGTGAGAGGAGGGTCGAGCTGAGAACTGCATCACAAAATCTGGAGAAAGGGCAAACCTGAATGATAAGGGATTCTGATCTGTCAGTCAGATCAATCAGTCCATACTGGGATTCACAAAGAATGGATTTCTCGAGCACCCCTAATAAACATCTGATCTATTGTTCAAATAACAGATGTAATTTATTAATTTAGAATTATGCTGATTTGTCAACAACAAAAGTCTCCTTGTGCTGACACAAAAGGAGGTGAAACTGTCATATTCAATGTTACCTACTCCCAAATGTTTATTCATTTTACTTACTCCAAAGCTATAGGCAATACTTGATGTACCTAACTTAGGGCAGGTACGTATAAGTAACACTCATGGACAACATGTTGTCCATGGGGTCTTGATGGGTCAGACATGACTTCACAACTAACAACAACAAGCAACACTTTGGAACTCATGTAGCAACTTGAGAAAATTGGCTACCACTGCAAAATGGTGGCCATGGAAAGCAAAGCAAAGTACAAGTCATCTGTCCCAAAGACTCCTGCCTTCATAAGACATTTGAACCCACAATTTCAGCACCAATTGAAATATATCTCACAGTAATCCTGGCTGCCAGTAAGTAAATGTGCTAATTAAAAAACAAAAACTGGAAGAAGTACTTGGTGAGCACCAAAAAATGGGCCCAAGGGTAGGAGACACATGATTTGTTCTTGGCTTAGGGAAAGCACACAGCAGTTTGATCCACCATTATTTACCTGGGTGCTCCTAGAATTGTGAAGGCTTTGTCAGCATGCTGTTCTCCAAGTTTGTTCATCACCTCATAAAGTTTATGGCATAGCTGCAAAGACAAAAAGACACATCGTCTTAACAATGCAATTTAAGAGGAAAACTCCCCAATAGCTGTACAGTATTTTAAAAAGCAAGACATGAACACAAACACATTGTAGATTGCAAAGCTTCACACCTGATCATTAAGATGTGCTACAAATATTCCTGTGAAGAAAAGAGAACATTATTTTATCCTCTAACTATGTACTAATTAAAGGTTTATAAAACATCTACCTTGTTGCCACTAATGTATTAAGAACGTTGCAATATACTGTGTAACCTCAGTCATGTAACTTGCTTGCAAAATGAAGGTGAAGACACACAGAATTTCACAAAAGTGAGGACCTTTTTGAAAAGTCCTTCCACTGCACCACATCTAAGCATACTTTCCTTCAGAGGATCAAGCTCTGAAAATGTCAGGTCCTATGTATGCTGCAGAAACAGGTTATGAATGTTGCTGGCACTCCAGATTTCACAAAGTCACCTACCTGAAACCCACAGAGTTGTTCCACAACTATTTAAATTTATTTATTTAAAATTTTTATATGCTGTCATCACATGCCTCGGCATCTCAGGATGGCTCACAAATGTACAATTAAAAACAATAAAACAATACAAATTCCATAAAATTATATAAAAACAAAAACAAAAAAGCAACTGTTAATGATAAAAATATTAATTTTTAAAATAACAATTGAATAAAAAGGTTTTAAACCTGGCACCAAAAAGAATATAAACTCAGGGCCAGGCACACCTCTCCAGGGAGCTCATTCCTTAATCTGGGTGCTACCGCAGAGAAGGCCCTGCTCTGGGTAGTTGTTCTTTTTATCTCCTTTAAAGAGGGCTCCTGGAGCAAAGCCTCTCCCGCAGATCTTCAGGGGCATGAGGGCATGTAAGGGAAGAGGTGCTCCTTTAGGTATCCTGGTCCCAAGTCATTCAGGGCTTTATACGTTAAAGCCAGCACCTTGAATTGGGCCTGGACTTCAACTGGAAGCCAGTGTAGCTGGTAGAGGACCGTTGTTATATGAGAATAACGACTGGTCCCTGTCAATTACCTGGCAGCTCTGTTCTGTACCAGCTGAAGTATCCAGACCATCTTCAAGGCCAGCCCCATGTACAGCGCATTACAGTAATCCAACCGGGAGGTTACCAGAGCATGAATCACCATTGCTAGGCAGTGCGTGTCCAGGTAAGGGCACAGCTGATGGATCAGCCTAAGCTGTAGGAAAGCACTTCTTGCCACAAAAACTCATATTTGTGACATATGTGTTTTGGTACACCCACCCAGACAAGGGCAAGTGCATAAATGTACATGGTGGGCTTTAAGAATTAAATCAAAAGGGATAGGGTTAGGGTTTAAGCATGCTTAAACCAGGCTTTGACTTGCTAGTACAGCAGTCTTCACTCTAATTAGAGCCAGTATTAAGAGCTATGATGGAAAAGGTGGGATGGTACTAGGATTAATTATATTGGACAGGTATGCACAACACAACAAGCCATGGTGATTTCTTGTGCAGGCTAATCTGCTGTGTTATCCAAAGCCTGTTGTTTGGTTTTTAGAAACCATGATAAGAAACAATGGTTTGTTCTATGGTTTCCACACTTTGCCATGGTTATTCTGATCATCCAAAACCAGCATCATGGTTTCCATGGTCCTGGCACACAGCTGCCACAGAGTCCCCTGGAAAGCGTGGCAGCTGTTCCTGCTATCCAGCTAGGATTGAGTATCAGGCATGGTGGCTGATGGGATACATGCCAACAGCAGGAGGACTGAGTGAGGAGCGTGGAAACCACACTAGTGTAGAAATCCCTTGATCATGTCAGGCACATCCAGGCCAAAAGCACACACTGTGAAAACTATGCAGGGTTACTTGTTGTGACATGTGTACCCAATCATTAACTAGTTGATTCTTTAAAGTAAGAGCATTATTTGGTAGTGCATTTTAAGGCAGGGTCAACTTTTTTCCTAAAGGCAAAAGTAGAAGCTATTTAACAGAACATAATCAATGACGTAACCAAGGATAGTCTATTTTATTTATGTTTACAATTTAGAAACCGCTCTTCATTGTTCACATCACAATCTCATGCATGTTCACGCAAAAATAAACCTCTGATTTCAATCGGAATTAGTCTCAAATCAGCATATGCAAGGATATAAGCAAATGATGGTTAAAATGTTACCCTGTATACACTCTCAAACTCAAGACTACCATGTGTATTGAGTGAAATAGCATTCAACAACCTCTCATGAGTGTCACAGACATGATCCAATCTCATGATCCTCTGAGGGACAACTTCCTAGTAGCTTCAGTGAACTGAGATGATCCAGCGACAGCACTCTTGTGGAGGACTCATTGAGCTGGGCCTCAGAACCCAACCCATTCTTCCTGTGACCAGCACTTAAGTACCCGCTGCTTAAATGCTCAGTGATTTCATTACCACAAGTTCATCTAGTGATACTCAATTTATCACAGTTATCTTCTTTGACAGACAGTGAGATGCCATGATAATCATTATACCATCACTCACTCATTCACAAACACCCATTATAAGAAATGCTTATTTTGATAACAGAAGAGGAATACAGTAGGTAAAGGTTATACCGTCTACATTCCAGTCTCAGTTTTTTCTAACTTAGTTCAAAGCTTTCCATTACCTTTCTCCAATAGTGCATTTCTTTTTACTCACCAAAGCTATTTCTTTGTGAAATTTGGCTTCAAGGCTGGAGATATTTTGAAATGTATTCACATAAAAGCCAACGCGTCTAAATGGGAATGCCAGGTAAAGATGAAAAGGTTGAAAAGAAGAAGAAAAATGATGAAATATGTATTTTCTTCTAAAGCAAAAGTATCATTTTTCCTGTGGCTTTCAAACAGATTTTTTTAAAAACCCACCAAGAAAATTGTTTTGCACAGACACAATGTTTGATTTCCATGCACAACATGAATTCTGGAAATGTAAGACAGAAGCTAGTAGATATATTGTGCAAAGGGCAACTTACCAGCCATAACATTTCTAGTTTGATACCAATTTAAGCTAAACCCCCTTTAAACAGACCCAGAGAGACATGTGAATGTCTTCACCATGGTGCAATCCCACATCTGTCAATTCCACCTGTAATATGCTGAATTCATGAGTGAATGAGGCTGTCTGTATATAAAGTAGCAAATAGTGAACTAATCCACTAATAAACTAACCTAACTACTAATAGGTCAGTTGTGGGTTGTTTAACCCACAACTAACCTAAAGTGTCTGTAGTTGGATGCTGATCCTCTGATCAACCCAATCAGGCATTAAACATGCAACATGGCAGCAAAACACGCCCAGCATGCCATTATAAGCACACTGAGTCAATCAAAACTAGGATCTGGATTGCATTTTTAGAAGGCTTTCGTAGATCCCACCAAAGATAATGTCTGTGTTACGTATGTTTCTGCTAACTGAACAGTGACTACCTCATAGTTACTAAAGCTACTCAAGCCACCAGCCTAGTGTCTTCCAGATGCTTTGGACCATCTGGGTATTTTGGAGCATCTCTTTTATGAAGTACACCTACCTTGACCACAAAGATGGCAGCTCTTCCTGCAAATCAGTGTTAAAATCTTCAAATACTTTTTGTGCTTTCTGAAACTCTTCTTCTGCCTACAAAAAACCCAGACTGGTTTTGAAACAGATGTTTGCCAGGGTAGAATGGAGGATAGAACAAGCCACTTCAGGTGACCTTTCTTAGGGTTGGCAATCATTTGAAGACAGACGGGGAGTAGGCAAGAATTCAACATGACAGCAGTCTTAGAGCTCAGTCTGTGAATGATCAAAGTTGCTGAAAATAAAACTATACAGTATGCTCATGTCTAATTTTCCTTCCATTTATTAAAGGCCTTGTTGGAGAGTGAGACTAGAGTAGGACCCCCATATCCATGGGGGATAGGTTCCAAGCCCCCAGCAGATACCTGAAACCATGGATAGTAGTGAACACTATATACTGTACAATAGGTCCTCCACATTCATGGGATTAGGGATGCAAGACACCCATGACAGTGGAAAAACTGTAAATACCTCTAGAGGAAACTGCAAAAATATCTCTAGAGACTCTATTTAGGAATGCCACACTCTTTGTCTTGGAACTAGCCAGCCTCACTCAGATGTTTGTCTCTCAGTGGGTGTGAAGAGTGTAGAGACATCTGCTGTTTCTCGCTAGAGATATTTGCAGTTGCTTCCTAGAGATATTCACATTTTTTTCGCTAGAGGTATTTGCAGTTTTTTCACTTTCACAAGGGACTAACCCCTGCAAATGTGGAGGGCCATGGTCAACCACTTAAATAAGCAATGGTAGTCTGGTTGATCACACAAACAGATTACAACTGCATTTATAAGAAGCATTCTCCTTGTCTGTTCGTTGACCCTTATCACAGAGTTGTTCTGAAACTTGGTTTCTAACTTGTCTGTAATGTCATAAAAATAGGACAGAGTGAATGGAATTCTTTCATATCTCCAAAGAAACAGTTCAACAACCACCACCACTAAGTTTCAGATTGGCTTCTGTGAGGCAGCAGCACATTCTGAAGTTCAGGTTATCATCACCACACTTCCCATTGTCAAGCGCCCATGCAGAGTACAAGATGACAGGCAGCTGCATTGTTCCATCTACATTACATACGTCTCTGGTAGGTCTTCTATAAATCTACTGGGTCTTCATTATCTACTCAAGGCAAAGACACCCCAAAAGACTCTGCCTAAAAACAAGGATAGCTCGGAACCATGCACAGTATTTTCCTGGAAAAATCCCCACAACTACACTGAGAAATGCAGCTAAGCTCAGAGGGGACAGGGGTTGGTAGTTGACTTCATTACCCTCACTAATCAAAAAGTCCCAGCACGTCAATCCTGACTCCTGGTTCTACCACATCACTGATTGGCCACCAATCCACATCTTCCTTCTCATCATTTATATGAGAATCTGCCTAGCCTACAAGGTTGCTCTCTACAAATGTTAACAGGCCAGCAAGGGAACTGGTCACCAAGAACTAGCTGCATTTTAACTGGATTGAGGGGCATGTAGCTCATATACCCACTGTACAGTAAAGGACAAACCATGCATGCTGCATGGATGCATATTGCCTCCTAAGGAAGCCCTGGATTGCAATAACAAGTTCTGGGTGCAGAAATTACAACTCTTGACTACACATGGTATAATGTCAATCAACTGCAGCTGAGCAGATTTTGGATAAATCCCACATGAAGGAAGTAATAAAACAAAGAAGGGATGCATCAAGTACTTGGTAGGGTGTAATTTCTTTCATATTCAGCAACTCCAAACATACAGTTCTATCTTACCTTGGAAATTCTGCCTTCATCTTTTCTCTTTGAACTCTGCAAGGCTTCCAAATGATGTCTTGCACTGTCATAATCAACCAGTTTTCTGCTCCGCTTTGCAATACGATTCTGTAAATGATGATTGTCCCAATCAGTATTCACAATTCCTACACAGTATAGTTGTTTATGATGTAGCTTTTAATAAACAGCTTCCCAAATCATTCTCATATTTCTCTCTCCCATAACCCTTGTCTAATATAAATACATGGACTGTTTGGTGAAAGAATAATATGGTTTCAAGCTTCACACAGCTTTGTTTCATAAACATCTGAAAGCTTTAATTATTAAACTGCTTATTGATTTCACTGAATATGTAATAGGTTGCCATGTTATCTAACCTTATTAAAGATCTTCCAGAGATAAAAAGGGCTTCATGGTGGAGCTGTTCTGGGCCTACTTTTGTGTGACTTGGTTGCAACTCAGTTGGTATTCTGTGAACATCCAACCTTGGAAGATAATGAGCATCCTATGCAAAGCAGGAGAAGTGGCAGAGGCAATCTTCACCTCCACACTCTTCCCACTATGCACTTCGGCCAGCTCTACACTTTTCGCCATCTAGCTAGTGGGCAGTGGAAAAGGAGGGAAGGAAGATGGATGGAGTGCTGTTAGGACGGATAGGCTGCATTCTGACCACTCCAGTCACCTCCTCACCCCCTCTAAACCCTCTCAGAGGTTGCTGTCCCAGAGTCTAGACATCACCTGGTGCAGTTCTGTCCATGCCAGGGGCAGAGAGGGAGACTGGAGCTCTCCACTGATCCCTATATCTGAGGTTGGAGCACTGTCTCCAAGCAGGTTGTCTGAACCTTGCCACACCTAGGGGGGCACAGGATCTTTCTCCTAAACACAGCGGATATTATGTCATAGTCAAGAGATAGCAATGAACCTGTCATATTGAAGCTATAGACATCAGATTCCATTTTTACATATGCTGGAGATTTGGTTAATTAATAAAGTAGCTTGACATCAGCCCATGAAGGCTATATGTTAAAGAGATTTATGGCTTATTTGCTAGAACCAGTGTTCAACTTCAGCCTGAGCATATTAGGATTCTGTCCTGGAACTAAATAAGTTCCAGTTTTCTAAGTAATTAAAATTATCAGTATAGCAGCAGGAGGTTTTCATTGGCTTGAGAGGAAATAAGGATGCTTACCTAGGAACATTTCTCCCACTCCCTACACGTGCAATCTGGGTTTGAGTAGGAGGATTCATAAGGCAGACAAATTATGCAAGGAAGTGAAATAATCTATGTTCACTCATCTATGTGCCCAGAGAGCATATTGGACACAGCTGTCAGAGAAGCACTGAACAGAGCTTGGCACACCAATGTTTGAAAGCAATCCCACTAGTTCAAAGATGTGAACATTTTTTCTAGAATCAATTTTAGTCCCATGCAAGTTGTTCAGGAAAGCTTTAAAAATGTAAGGAACTTAAAATGGTGGTAATCCAGATGGCTACTATTCAAAACATCTCTGGGTAGTCCTAGAGAATAGCAAAGCTGGGACTGAGCTAAACTGAGTTACTTAGTACAACTGCCTATATTAAAAAGACACCCTCCATTCACAGCAATCCCAAGAGATGATCCTCCCCCAACCTGGAGCCCTCCAGGTGCCACACACTGCAGCTGCAGCTACTAATCCAGGCTAGCATGGGTCAGTATGGATCAAGCAGTATGGATCAAGCAGTAACAAGCCTATGGGCACCCATCGGCCAAGTGATCACTATGAACAGCTTCGGGCAGAAATATAGGAATGATGTACGTGTGGTCGATGCATTGAATGATATGGAATGGTACTCTATGTGAAAGGGTCACAGGAATTGAGTTAATATATGCTTGTGGTCATACAAGTTCATGGAGGAGAAGGCTTTGGATGGTTACTAGTCCTCATGGCTATATACTTCCTTCAGTATTTATACCCAGCAGTTGCTGGGCGTATGCCGCCATCAGGAGGACACTGTTGCATCCATGTCCTACTTGACAGCGTCTTATAGACGGCCAGTTGACAACTGGGTGGACAGAACACTGGACCACTTCGGTCTGCTCCAGCGTGACTGTTTCAAAGCACTTATATGCCGATACCTGACTCAGATGTTTTGTTTGCATGTGCAGGGTTGGGTGCATGTCCTGCCTCAGGCAGTCTCCTCTTCCAAGTGCAGTATTTCTGTTAGCAACCATGTTAAACTAGCTCACACTGATGTATCATAGTACCTTTATATCAGGGAACTGTCCAAGATATGTGTCCAAGGTCAGCAGTGAGCCATCAACTAGCTTTTGATGGAAATCTTCCCAAAGCACGTCACATTTCTGTAGAGGAAAATACAACACAGCAAAAACAAGTTAACCTGCCCCACAATGCAATTAACATACACCTCCCAAAATAGGTGTATTTCCTTGAGAAGTGCCATAAACCCCAACATATACATACAGACCCTTAGGGTGCAGTGCTATACATGTTTAGAAAGGGAAAAAAGCCTACAATTCCCAGCATCCCCCAACCAGCATGGCTGGCTGGAGCATGCTGACAGTTGTAGGACTTATTTCTGCCAGATCACACACAGGATCACACCCTTAGCCACCCTGATTTTAATGGACTTGCTCCCACGTAAGTGTATTTAAGGTGCTGACAGAGACAGCCTGTTTCACACACAGCCATTCCTTGGGGCTTGCTCAGATTTTACTAATACCTAAAGCCAACAGAGTGACCACAGAAGCAAATCTCTAGGGCTTTTCTGACCATCCCTTTACCATGCATAGTGCTTAACATTTAAGTTTGCCTGCTTATTCATAGTCAGAATAATCTTGATTCCACCACACAACCCCCTTCAGTCCAGTATTGAATCAGAGATATGTCCCATGGAGAGAAAGACTCAAGGGTCACATTTTTCATTTAACAAAGGAAACACTGGATGCAGCTGCATCATCTGCACTGATTTCTCCTTAAATAAAAGAATGCTTAACCAGAGGGATAGTTCCCCAAAGAGCTCCAAAATAACAAACACCCAGTGAAGCCCTACGAAAATGTCATTATGTCAAAACATTATAATGTCCTTGTAAAGTAGTAAAGTACTAACTTGCAACATATTAAAGCAGGGATAGCCAATGTTGTACGGAGGAACACTGAAGGGCCCTCCAGACACCTTCCTGGAATGCACTGATACATTCTACTACTTTGGATTTTTATTTGAAAATGTTTTAAATTTCTTACTGACAGCTAGGATTGCTTCAAAGTGAAGTGGGGGCCTCTAGTTGCCACTATCTTCATTTCCCAGGGAAACCACTCTTTCATGACTAGCCATGCTGACCCATGACAGCCTTTTTCTTAAACATCCAGGTGGAACAGGACCACTGAACATGCGCTTAATGTGGGGGATGCTGGGAAGTGTAGCCCAAACACAATTAGGAGGCACCAAGTTGGGGGAGTCCAGTGCATAGTACGGCTGATAGTAGGAGAACAGCTTTCATCAGAAAGCCAATACAGGCTGCATGGCACCTCAACACCCCAGTGCAGGTATTGTCCATATACAGAACCGATGCAAATGGTGATCCCAGGATCATGGCCCTGCCCTGGCCCAGTCCTTGCCCCCTGGCCCATACAGTGAGCAGGGTCAGAGCCAGCAGCACAGCCCTGCTGTCCCCTTATCCACACACAAGGTATGCACCTGGTTCAAAAAACGCTCCCCCACGTGCCTTTTCAACCACAGAGGTCTTTGACTCCACAAAAGGAAGCATGAATGGTCCTAATGCTGCAGCACTAATGATCACAGGAGCACAAGAAGGTTCCTTGTCCTGAGTCAGACCTGTAGTCTACTGAGTCCAGAACCGTTGACGCTGACTGGTGGCAGCCCTCTGGGGTTTCAGACAGGTGTTCCTCCAGCCCTGCCTTCCAGCCCATGCAAAGCAGGTACTCTAGCACTTAGGTGTGGCCCTTGACTTGGAAGGTAAATCCGTAGGATGGACTTCTTCAGAAGTATTCTCAGCAACACAAGTTTACAGTTCTCGGCTTTTAAGATGCAGGCGGTTCAAATGTTTAAAAATGTAGTATAAAAGCCAAGTGTGGCATTGGGCCGTCCCCGGGGGGTGGTCAGCTTCTGCCCTCATACTCAAGGCCTCTGGCATGGCGAGGAGTCAACAGCAGTGCTGAGCCTCTGTTCCACCAGGGATATATATCCATGCTTGCAAGGCAAGACTACTGCGGCTTTCCCAAGCCATGCTAAGCCATCAGTCTCTCAGCACTTGAGCCCCACAGCCTGGGGGCAGTCCTTTCAGGGCATGCCCAAAATACATTGCCTTCTGGTTTCCACATTCAGGATCTCTGATAGAGATCTACAAATCTTTTCTTAGTAGAATAAAGTGGTTTCATTCATCCCCTAGTGCCTAACGTAGGGGTAGGCGATATGTGAAATTCCAGACGTTTCAGAGAACATCTCCCATCAGACAAGGATGGGATTTGTAGTCTCTGGCCCAGTGCAAGAAAATACATCTGTGCGCAGACGTGCTTCTCTTTTCCACTTTTTGGAACAGAGCTTAAAGATAAACTAAATGTTATAAAGTATAATAGACTACTTCATCTCTAGTGCTGGAAATTCAAGAATGAAAATGTTGATTCAGATCACTACCTTTCTCTACTTCTTTCTCACAAGCAAGTCGAAATTTCCTTCTGTCACAATGAATTTGGATTTGGGCCACTGCTGCTTCAGCAGATAAACAAGACAATACTTTACATAACCTGTCGCTTATTCCTTTGCACAAACCCTCTGGGAAATGCTCATCAGTCCTTTCTTGCCCTCGAGCCTGTTTAGCACTGACAGGCTGTCTCAGCAGTGCAGTTGAGACAATGGGACTGTGTCATACTGGATTAAAATAGCATTTCCAATTAAATTTAAACCTCACAGATGTGGCTCAGATACAATGCTTTTCTTTAAATCCCTTTAAACATCTTCCCCAAACATGTAGAGTACGTGTATGGATGAAGGATGGGAGCATTAGGGGCAGAGACAAGCAGGGTGTGTTCAGTACATCTGAAAACATGAGAATAGCACAGGGAAGAGAGTGGGATAGGTTTTTGTTGGCACCGCATGGCCTGATGGCAGCTTCATCACCCTAAGTAGAAAGGATTCTGCAGTAGTGAAAGAGGAAAAGTGAGCTTGGGAACACTCAGAATACACACCCAAATCTGAGATGTACCAAAAGTCTAAACAGGAAATTGTGCAACTGAGTGTTCAAACTGCTTCACCTGAAATTATTTCAGAAATCCTTACCACACCTTTTGAAGTATTATTAGCCACATATTGCAGATATGAGGGTGTTGAGGACAAAAAATAAAGCAGCTTGCCTAAAGATTGTGTCTTGATAATATAAGGAAGATGCCAGTGAGGTGTAGTGGTTACAATGTCAGATAAAATCTGGGGAAACCCAGTTTTAGTGTCCTCTCAGTCTTGGAGCTCTAGGTCTGACTTTGGGCCTAGTCATTGTCAGCTTAGCCTGCCTCACAGAATTATTGTGAGGATAAAATGGGTGAGGACAAACCACATATGCTGACCAAAGCTCTGTGAAGGCAAGGGAAAGCCAGTGTGGTGCAGGGGTTAAGAGTGTGGAAATGGGACTCAGAAGATCTGAGTTCCAGTTCCCACTGAGCCATGAGTGACTTAGAGCCAGTCACAACCTTGCAGTGCAACCTACCCAACAAAGTTGTTGTTGTGAGGATAAGATCGGGGAGGGGGTAGAATTATGTAAGCCACTTTGAATTCCTTGAAAGAAAGAAAGGGGGGATATAATTAATGGGCTGTACATTAAAAGAAAGAAAGATCTAATTGTGGAGTATTACAGCATCCCTACACCAAAGTTGTGAGGAATGCTATATTTCCAAAATCACAAGCAGGATGGTCCTACAAAGACAGGGATAAGGAAAATCCTGGTACAGAAAAAACTGAGTTCCACTGCAATATTGCACTCTGACTTTTCCAATCCCAATGCAAATAGGTCTATTTTGTAGCAGCCCCATACCAATATATGCTACAGGCAAAGGGCAAGCTGGATGGTGGATGTAACTCACTTGGAACTGGTTTGGTGGATGTCAACTCACTTGGAACTGGTTTGCTACTTTGTAGGCTATGCGTTGCTTGCCAGGGTTGCTCCTTTGTGCAATCACAGGCCGCAGACCGTTTTTCTCGCAAAACTTCTATTTCTCCCAAGTACAAATCACCCAGAAAGGATCTCTGAGCATGCTCACAGCAGTTTGTTGAACCCAATCTAGTTTGTACCTCCAGGAACCTTCCTCAGGAGCAGGCCTGGGCCCCATCCCCTTCAGAGGGGCTTTCTGAAGGAGAGCACGCCTCCTCGCCACTTGCTGCTCATGCAATTGGACTTCCTCACCTTGCCAGGGGGTAGAGAATTGGGGTGAGGGGGGAGGTGCTGGTCTGCATCTGAGAATTCCTTATCTGCAGAGACACCTCCCACTGGCTGTGCATCTGGGTTGTTTCCAGACACTGCCTAGCTTAGCAAAGCACCCGGCCTTGAGATAGTGACCTCCATCTCCTTTATCTGAGAATCTCGACCTAGCCCATCCTCCACAGTCCCATAATAATTTGTTTCACATTCTGATTCCTAATCATCTGGGATGCTGCCAGCAGTTCATGAGAATGATTGCCCAAGACCATCATTCTTCTTTCTCCCAACACTATGAGTAATTATTACAATCTATTAATCACCCCTGAAGAAATAATTTTTTGCATTTACATCATAATGTTTAATCACCGTGGCACTCAGAGTGGCAACAGTCACTAGAGAGCATGTTAACATCAATCCTGTAGTTTTTCATGAAGTTATACAGACAAGTTCTAGATAAATCAAAATCTTAGATGCTTCCTATAAATTAACGGAAAGGAATGTCATTTATTGAATATATGAGCAATGTTTCCCCAAGACAAATATACCTGAATGGAATACAAAAACACAGATTCCATTAGATTAACCTAAAATCCATGAGGTAGGGGTGAAATTGGCAGTACAGACACTCATAATGTCAGTCCCCACAGCCACATCCCCAAGGAGAGGACAGTATGCAGCAAACTATATTGATCCAAATCAGCAGTTTTATCTCCACTAGTAGATCTATAAGTTAATGGTTCTAAATTGTCCATGCAGGACTAAGCAACCCAAGCGCATCTTACGTTACAACAGAGAACAGTATGTTGCTCCTGAGAAAATTTGTTTCCCCCCAGGAGCTATGAGAATTGTAGCTGAACTCAGAAGGAACTGGGATGTCTAGGGAGGGCAGTGGCAGATGGCATAGTGGCTAGCGACATCAGCTTCTCTTCTTATTAAACAGTGCTAGTGCTGAGTCCCCACAAGCTCTTGCTCCACTGTACCATGGCTTTATAGTGTGCCTGCTGCAAATACACTGTTAGGTAAACATGGCAGTTTCAAAGCTGTAGCTCTTGTTTTTCGGGTGACCATCCCAATTAAATACATGAGATGATACATATGTGACACTGAAATACGTACATGTCTCAGTGTGAGATGGAACAGGTTGCACTCCGTTGAAACAGATGAGTCAGTATAGCATGCTCACTTTTTTGGGTTAATAAAATGTTTTAAATGACCTGTTTGGACAAAATGTCATCCCATGGTGTATTTAACGCTAACTTGTGGTTTGAATTCTGGGTTGTCCTGATATTTCAGTGTGGCCATGCCAACAAAGCATGATTTGTTAACCAGAAACATCATAGAAAGAGAACACACATTTGTTGTGAGGTTATGAAATCTGGGATGTTCAAACCATGGGTTATTCTTACATGCAAACCCAAAGACATGGGTTCTAAATCATAAATGTCTACATATGCAAATCATATTAACTTATATGATGTGAAGTATGCTTTAATTTCCCCTCTCAAATATTTCAAATACTTGTGTTCTATTAAGATATAAAGTTAACTTTTTTAGGTTGACAAATTTTTAGTCAACCTAAAAAAGTTAACTTTATATCATAATACTGTCAATTGTTAAGATACTTGTATTGTTAATTCAATACAAGTAAAATAAACATGATAGATATGAACAGTCTATAAAGCAACAGAATGTTTCAAATACAAACTGAAAATTTTCCAGTGCAAGTTCTGATTGCAATTAGAAAAATATTAATGAGTTAGGAACATTTTCCAATTCAAAATTCTCTGGGAAACCTACGTAACCTGCCTCTAATGAGTGTTCAGAAACTCCAACTGATGGGAAGCACAGGTGCTAGTATAAGTAGAACCCATTGCATAGAACACCTGATACCAATATGGTCTCATCTTCAATGTCTCTTGGTTTTTGAGCCTAATTTTTACTTTAAAACCCTAAGTAATGTGAGAGCAGACTTTAAGGATTATTTCATTCTTATGAAGATGCCTTTTGATTCTGTCAGGGGTAGGAACTTGTGGGCCTCCAGATGCTCTTGTATTCTAATTCTGTTAGCTTCAGCCAGCATCGTTACTGGTTAGCAACTATGGAAGTTATAGCTGATTTCAGAGAGGGTAAGGATAAGACTGGGGATCCTCTTGATTTTATTGATCATTAGAGTCTTTCCCCTCTAGTGTTTATTGCTTTGATGTACATTGTTGCTACCTAACCTGGGGGTGATTATTGAACAGAAAGATAGATTACTAGGATAATCAATGTCTTAAATAAAATAAATAAAATAAAATACATTCTTACCTCTCCCACCATTTTTACATCTTCCCGTCCATACCAGTCAGGCTCATATACTTCATGCAGAGATTCTGTAAGCTTTTTTGAAGCATCTTGCATGCCTAGAATTTTTGAGCACAAAGAAACATTGTGGCAACTGTTTATATCACAGATGGACTGCCATTTGAGCTCAGTTTGCAACTTCCATTACTGAATTCAATGAACTAGCAAGCCTGGTGCTCTCCAAATGTTTTGGACATCAGTTCCCAACATAGCCAAAAGTCAAGATCTTGGGAATTAAAATTGAAAACTTTTGGAGGATATCAGGTTGGGGAAGACGGTTATCGAACACACACAGACACAATAAGATCAAAGATCAGGCTTTGATTGGAATCCATTTGTTTGAAAGTTATTGACAGTAAAACACAGATGTCTATAAAAAGAGTAATGGGGTTAATAAGGACATATGAATGCTAAATATATATCCTGAGATGTGTTTTTGTTCTTGTTTTATTTTGGTTTTTGCTTGCACATTCTTCTCCATAAGTTAGTCCTAGCTTTTGCTATCATTAACACAACAGCAGAGAGGAAAAGGGCTAGCTCAAACCTACTCCATCTAATTGAGGCTGACACAGAATTTAGGATGGAGCTACACATTACAAAAGAATTGTGGGGGTCCCAACTTATTTTTCCTCCTTAAACTAATAGAGGGAGTAGGACATACAGAGAATAGTTTATGGTGTGAAGTGAAAACTCCTCTCTGCCTTCTGTTCCTTCTCTGCTCAAGGGAACTGAAGCCCGGGCCCAATTCAAGGTGTTGATTATGACCTATAAAGCCCTAAACGGCTTGGGTCCTGGCTACCTGAACGAGCGCTTACGTCCGTATATGCCCGACCGCCCTTTGAGATCTGTGGGAGAGTCCCTTCTCCGGGAACCCTCCATGAAAGAAATTAGGAGAGTAAGTACTCGGAGGAGGGCTTTCTCTGCGGTGGCGCCCAACCTATGGAATTCACTCCCCAAAGAGGTCCGCCTGGCACCGTCATTACTGGTTTTTCGGCGCCAGGTAAAGACCTTTTTATTTAAACATCATTTTAATTGTTAAAACATATGATCTGGCCAGGGCAACTTCTTCTTCCTTCTCTTTCTCCTCCTATATTTTTATTTATGTAATTTATACTGATAATTTTAATCTTATATTTGTAAATCAATGTATTTTTTGTATTTTTGTATTTAATGGTAATTTATTATGTGCTATTGTATTTCAATGTATTTTATCGTGTTGTAAGCCGCCCCGAGGTTTCGGCAAGGGGCGGCATAGAAATGTAATAATAATAATAATAATAATAATAATAATAATAATAATAATAATAAAATTTTAAACTAGTTTATTCTCCATCCAGATTCTGAGACTAGGATTAACCTGTCTTGGATGGTAGAAGGATTCAAATGGAGGCATTTGCAAGGAAGCATTTGAAAGTGTATCATAGCAGGGATACACCTTTCCTTTCTTCCTCTCACCAATTATTCCTTGCATCCATATTATGTCAGCAATATGCATTTGGTGATACTCATGGGTGTTTGAGATATGTATGCCATATGTAGTACACTCCAAAGAAACTTTAAGAAAGAAGTTTGGCATACAACTCCAAAGTTACTCATGACCTGTTGCAATATTTTTCAACCTGTAGCATGGAACTAGAGAATAATTCAATAAATTAGAGACATCGTCTTCTTTAATTCACACTCCCCTGTTCTATCCAATAGAGACTGGGCCCTCATAGTATTCTGCAAGAATTTTGGAAATTAAAATTTCGTGAGGGATCTCTATAAGGAAGTCTCAGCACCCTCACCAATATACAATTCCCAAGATCTTTTCCAAGAAGCCACGAGAGTTAAATTATTCTAATGTCAGTTTAATGTCAGTTTAACAATGTAATGCTCTGGCTTTTTAATGTTGAATGAACAGTTCTCAGCATCCTCCAACTTTTCAGCACTTCTTGGAGTCTGCAGCTATGTTGGTCTTTCTTCTTCCTCTCCTTCCAAGCAGACTAGGACAAAGACTTCCTAAACTAAAGTTGATGTTAAAGCTGAGCAGTTAGGCTGCCCTTTCAAAGAAGAGAACAGCAGAAGTCAGTAACAATAGAAACAAGCAAAATTCCCTGGCAATTAGGGAAATGGACTCAGCATTGCTGCTTGATGAAAAAAAGTTGACTGCACACTGAACATTTCTCCTTCTACAACAGCTGGTCAAGGAATAATGAAATTGTAGGACTTTTTCTCTTGTCTAAACATGCATAGGATTTAGCCTGAAGAAATCAAATGTAGTAATAATAATTTCCTAGATCGTTATCATTGGAAATCAGTATGGTGGAACAATGCTTGACCAAGGAAAGGGGTGACTGGGAGCACTAGGAACTGAGTTATCAGTGTATTACATTATACATTGATTTTATGTCCACAGATTTGGGAATTAATGTTATTTGTAAAGACAGCCCTATGACACTCTGTATACAAATCAAGCAGTTCAACTAATTTTCATAGGTATATAGTGAGAAAACACCCTAAATTTGAGTTTGAAATTGCCTTTTCATTATTATTACTTTTATATACTCTTTTATATTATGTTTTTAGCCTTCAGTGTCAATAACATTTTAAATAATTCTTTAAAACCAAGAATAAATAAAATTTAGTAATGTGCATAATTAAAAAAGCAACCAAAGAAAATAAAAATTACACAGGGAAACATTACATTCCATCTTACAAATGTAGTTACAGACAGAATTCCTTGGTATTTATATAGAACAGCTTTGCTAGGGATGGGAAAATCTGGAGCAGAATGTTATGTTTCAGAATTAAGTACTTTGCTCTGCTTTCTTTCTATTCCTACCTCAAAACAAGGTGAATTAAATGAAAGAATTTCAGGGAGAAGTCAGTACCAGGCATGAGCAAACAAGCAATTAGTATCAATTTCTGAATTAGTATCATTTGTTGCTAGTTAGCTGAACCATTTGGTTAAGAAGCAAAAAATAGAAAATCTCTACAGCTAAGACCTTAAGATAGCAAGTGATGGAAAGTAAGCATGTTTAGGTCAGCATTATCTCTTCTGATTGTTAGTGATTTTCCAGGGCACATTGTCTACACTCCAGAAATTACAGTGGTACCAGAGAAGGCAAACAAAACAAAACGCCTGCTAAACATCATGCAGCAAATTATTTGGGCATGGATTATTCCAATCGGATGTTGGTGCAAACATTGTTCTTATATCAAAACCAGAAATGGTGACATTATTCTGTTATCACACAGAATAATGATCCTTCAATATTCCTACCTATGGGTTCCATGCTGATGACATGGTAATAGCCTTGACCTCCATGAATTTGTGGAAACCCCTTCTATTACCATCTAAACAAGTTCACATTGTGCCAAAATAAAGCAAATTTTTTATGTGTGGCTGCCCTTCAAAACTCACATGCATGCACACATGTTCAGAAGATGTTCAAGAGAAATTCACTAGCTGCCTTAAGATCTGCATTAGTTCACTCAGAGAAACAATATTGCATAAGTAAAAATTCATAAAAATAAACTGGCATGAAAGTTAAAAGATAATTGATTAAAAACCAAGCAGGTGTGAAAAAGAGACTTGTTGCCATCAACACAAAACCTGTACACTGAACACCCTACCCACGCAATAGGAAGTTTCTCTGCCAGATGATGGGGGGGAAAATCACACTATTTTTCACAAAACATATGGTTTGTAATCCGCTGGTTTGGGTGGCTTTGAAAAGTTAACAACTAGGTGCTAAAAGTAAAGGAAACTGTCTAATCTTGACCAAAAATAGCTGCTGAGCAAGATATGATATGAAACAATAATACTTGCATAACTGTACTGCACTGAAAAAAAATTAAGGAAATAATACTTAGGGGTATTATGATGTTTTAATTTGAGATTTTCTGTGCTCTGTGTTGCATTACACATCCAAATTGTCAATTGAAAAAGTATATTTAATTTTTTTTCTTATCCTAGAATACAGGTTAATGAAAAGCAGCACTTGTTCACCAAAAGCTTTGGAGAATAAAAATCTCCTTGAAAGGGAAGGAAAAAGAGAAATATCAAATGAATCTTTCTGGAAAGGGAATTCTATAGCTAGGGAGGCCTTACAGAAAAGACCCAGGGTTCCAGTTATTATCCTGCTTGTTCTCAGAAAGCTGAAGGCTATAGAAAATAAAGTGCTTTGATGAAGACCTCAGCAGGTAAACAACTTCATATGGAAAAACTGTTCCTTTGGATTGCTCCTAGGTACCACCTTTAGAAATGCATAGGTCAAAACCAGCATGCTGAACTGCACCCATATTCAAACTGGAAGTAACCTGAAATTATTTCATGCTGGAAAAGATGCAGAAAAAATGGAAAACATTCAGAGGAAGGCAACAAAGATGATCCAGGGTCTAGAAACAAAGACTTATGAAGAGAGACTGAGAGAACTGGATATGTTCAGCCTCGAAAAAGAAGACTGAGTGGGGATGTAATAGCACTTTACAAGTACCTGAAAGTCTGTCACAAAGAAGAGCAACTTGATCTCCTCTTGATCATCCCAGAGTGTAGGATATGCAACAGTGAACTCAAGTTACAACAAACTAGATTCAGGCTAGATATCAGGAAAAAAAATCCTAACTGTCGGAGCAATACAACAGTGGAACCAGTGGCCTAGAGAGGTCGTAGGCTCTCCCACACGAGAGTCATTCAAGATGAAACTGGACAGTCATGAGTGGGATGGTGTGACTTGGTGTCCTGCACCGGAAAGGAGTTGGACCTGATGGCCTTCTTGACCCCTTCTAACTCTACTGTGCGTATTCTATGATACATTGGTTAAACCTAGAGGATGCATCTTGAACCAGTCAGTTTCCCAGTGGAAATAGTCTCCACATATAACCAAATCTATATTATTATATATAGTATACATCTGTGGATAGGAGTCACAGGATGAGCTCAGGAAGCTAATCTAAATGTTACGTAAGCATGGGTGTATCCAACAGCCCAAGTCTAGGGCCCCTAAGTACACTTGCAGTACCTGTATGCTTGGGCTGCTCATTAATTTGAAAGTACAGCGAATCCAAGGCATGTTCAGAGTTGTTCCCTCCATTGAAATGAATGGGGCAGTAAAAGGAAGTTGCTCCACATATACGTTGGAACTCCCATACTCATCAGAACAGGCTGAATCAGGATTTATTTTTTTTAGTTCTTTGCCTTAGTTTGGCAGACAAAAATCTTCCTGCACTTTGGTTGTTTGATATCACAGCTCAGGGGTAGGGAATGCACACTTCCCCCAGCCATTTTTGTAGATTACTACAGTGATCATTGAAACTCAACATTAAGAAAACTAAGATCATGGCATCTGGTCCTCTCACTTCCTGGCAAATAGATGGGGAAGAAATGGAGGTAGTGACAGATTTTATTTTCCTGGGCTCCAAGATCACCGCAGACAGGGACTGCAGCCAAGAAATTAAAAGACACTTGCTCCTGGGGAGGAAAGCTATGGCAAATCTAGACAGCATACTAAAAAGCAGAGATATCACCCTGCCAACAAAAGTGCGTATAGTCAAGGCTATGGTTTTCCCAGTTGCAATGTACGGCTGTGAAATTTGGACCATAAGGAAGGCTGAGCGCCGAAGAATTGAAGCCTTTGAATTGTGGTGCTGGAGGAGACTCCTGCAAGTCCCTTGGACTGCAAGGTGATCAAACCAGTCAGTCCTAAAGGAGATCAACCCTGGCTGCTCCTTCGAAGGCCAGATACTGAAGATGAAACTCAAATACTTTGGTCATCTAAGGAGAAGGAAGGACTTCTCACTGGAGAAGACCCTAATGCTGGGAACAATTGACGGCAAAAGAAGAAGGGGACAGCAGAGAATGAGGTGGCTAGATGGAGTCACTGAAGCAGTCGGCGTGAGCTTAAGTGGACTCCGGGGGATGGTGGAGGACAGGAAAGCCTGGAGGAATGTTGTCCATGGGGTCACAATGGGTCGGACACAACTTCGCGACTAACAACAACAACAGTGATCATGTGGACTAGCAACTTCATTCTTTCACCTGACCATGTGGTTTGCATACAGTCAGTTGCCATAACACTGACATCAGGAAAAAAAAAACAATTGTTTGGAAGCAGCATCCAGCATAAATCCACACAACAACTGGAAGATTTAACTGAAGATTTAAAACTCGCAGGTAAAAAGGAAAAGGAAAAAGTTGATTGCAAATACCTTTGATTGCAGCTAAATACCCTCGGAGTTCTTTTTGGAGTCTGGAACCTTCTGCCTGAAATAAAAAACAGAAGTGAAACCATATCCTGTGCTTAACAGAGTTGAACACACACACAAAACCATCAGAGCTAATTTAATTCCCATATTCTTACATAATTAGGTACAGACCTGCAGCCCTGATATTTTTAAAAAGCAAACATTTTTTAAAAAATTGAGTTCTCTCACTATCAATTAACAAACAAAAAACATCCACTGAATCAAATTGTTACATAGTTGATTTCTATAGTGTAAGAATAATTCTTTCCCATTTTACACTTTTTTGTGTTTACTGGATGGCACAACTTTTTGTTAGTAAGGCTTTGTCTAACTGCTGGAGGTATACAATCAATGCTTTTTTAAATTACATGTTTTGGTCATGTTCAGTAGTTGTTTCTTTTTGAGTGAAGGTTGCAATAAGGATAAACCTCAAATTTGAACAGTCTTTGATATTTTCTGATGTACTTGTTATTTTATATAATCTACCTGTTTCTTGGAAGTTAAAGCATGGCCAATGCAAATGAATCTTCTGCTCTTATGTCATACTTAGGACTGGAGACCTAACAGTGCCTTTAGTATTTGATGTTACTCTTGAAGGGAGAGATAGAGAGAGAGATGGTCTGCCTTTATTGAAGCTTATGTATAGTTGATGCATCTTGAAGTATGCAGCTATGTGGATATTTACATATCAGCAATTATATGACACAAACAAGAGGTTTGTTTTCTAATCTTGTTTTGTTTTACTAAATTCACAACAACAAAACACAAGTAACTTTTATGTATAAATCCTATCCTCTAGACTCAAATTCTAATAGCCAACAAAAGGTCTGTGGCTACTGGGGACTTATCATATTTCATTTTCTTTCCTCAGCTGGAAAGTCAGGTGTAGGTTATAAGCTCTGTGCCAGCTTGCTCATGCAGAGCTGGCTAATACGGCTCCAGACCATCCAGTTCAAGGCAGTTTACTCCGATAAGCACTGGCTTTCTCCAGCCCTCACCATACAGCATCCTTTAATTGTGAAGGAACATAGGTGGCAGAGCACTGCTGTATGCAAAAGGTCCCAGGATCGATCCATGGCATCTCCAGCTATTCTGCTGATCCACTTGACCTTGACAAAGTTCTCAGCTCCACCACTGCTCATAGCTCAGCCCGGACAAGCAGCAACCCAGGAAGAATGTGCATAACTGTCCACATGATTCACTTCCATGAAAAAGGCAGGATGGGAAATGGAAATCCACTGGCTACTTGTTTAGGGTTACCTGCACCCATTCAGAGTTCCAGCTGCCTACATGAAAGGGCTATTGCCAAAGGAAACAAAGCCTGACAGATGTCCTTTAGCAGAGCTTTACATTCAGAAAGCTAAGTATTTTCTGTGTTATCGTGAAAGGTGTTCATATCCACTACAGTCTGCTTGATAACCTTTATGGCCTTCCTTTGGAGTTATTGAACAATTAAAATGCATCAAAGGCAGTTTTGGCTGGATATGTAAGCTATGTTAGCCAAGTAAATATTTAGTAATCAAGACTTCAGAAGAAACAACACAGATGTGTATCTGTAAACTTCTGCAGGGACACTTCTTCCTGTATGATCCTGCCCACGTTTTAAGGTCTTCAGAGAAGGCTCTATTTGTGGTGCTTACGTAGATTATAGCACTCCACATAGAAGTGCAATTAGAACCAACACTGTATCTGGGGGGCAGCAGCATTAGGTCAAAACCAATTTGCTTGCCCAGGCATTTTAATTTTTTAAATTTAGATTATATTTATGCCCTACCTTAGTTCCTCCAGGGAGATTATGGTGGCTTCCATGAGCCTCCTCCCCATGTTATCATCACAACAACCCTGTGAAGTAGGTTAGGTTGCAAGTCAATGACTGGCCCAAAGGCACCCATTGAGTTCCATGGCTGAGCAGGGGATATAGCCCAGATCACCTGAGCCTCAGTCCAATGCTCTAACCACTATACCACACTATTTATGAAACTTGATGGTGCACCTGCCTATTTTATGTATTTTAAACATCAAATTTCTATCCAGACTTTCCACCAACAATATTGCAGATGGATGTGTGTCTATTAGTTGCTGTTTCCTTTTTTTAATCTGTGTGGTTTTATTAGGATATTTTAATTTAAAAAATAGTCCCTTTTTTGAGACGTCTTATTACTGTAGGATGGAGTGATATATATTGTAAATACACACAAACGAAATAAATGGGAAAGTCCCTCCACTAGAAGCTTCTAAGCTAGCGGTGATGAAGGTGCTTCCCAGACTTGGGTGTGCTCATGGCCCCCAGTCATCAGTTTTCTGCTTCAGTAGCGATACCTCCTGCTGAACATGCAGCCTGCCTTCCCTAGCTCCAAATGCGCAAATGGGAGGCGTGGTTTTTTAGGGCTGTGGTGCAGGAAGAAAGGGCAAAACACTTTGATGCCTTTGATAAAGCCAAATAAAGGATCTTTATTGTTGCATTACATTTATACTGCACATTTTTCCTTCCTGAGAGGAATGTGAGGCAGCTCACACAGCCCTCCTCTTCTTCTCCATTTATCTTCACAACTTGTGAAGTAGGTTAGGCTGAGAGTGAGCAACTGGCCCCAAGTTACCTGATGAGCTTTGTAGCCAATAGAGGACTAGAACCTGGATCTAACACTCTAATTGCTACTCCAGCTCTTTGCAGATATGACACATACTTTTAAAGCATAAGAAGGAACGGACTGTGAAAGTTCATGTAAAGTTATGAAAACATCCAAACAACTAAAGCAGTCTCCATTGGTGCTATGTTTAGTCCTTACATTTGTAAATAAAAGGGTAGTAGAGTTAAATCATAATATTCTGAAAGGTTTAACTCAGGAGGCAGCCCTGACTCCCAGTGGACTGGTTCTCAGAAGCAGTTCATCACTCACTGACAGCAGAATGATGCAATGACCTACATGTGTGAATGAGCCTCTGCTAAGTCATCCTGGCAGAAAGGCCTCTTTTGATCACCTGAAGTCAACTGGAGCACAATAGTTTTTATGGAAGAAACTTCACGTATCTGGCAAAGGGTCTTCAACTGTGGTATAGTGGTTTAGAATACAGGACTAGGACTTACTCAATTCTAGCCCCTGCTTGGCCATGGAGCCCACTGGGTGACTTTGGCCAGTCACAAACTCTCAGCCCATCCTACCTCACAAGGTTGTTACTGTGAGGATAAGCATGAGAGGAGGAAGAGGAGAATTAGGAGTTCCTTGACAGGAAAAAAGCAGGATGCAAATATAATAGAATCAAATAATAACTGCTGAGAAAACAAGTGATGCACATTATCTTAGTTCTCCATGACAGAAACCTACAGCAAACTACTACAGACTTGTAAGACTGAAACCCCTTTCATAAGTTCATTTCAGGCCTAGAGGAAATGTAGATTCATGTGCATCTGGAGGACAGAGCGGGATTGCATCCACCCACCCTGGCCCCATGGTTGCAAAACCTCAAATTCACATGGAGCAAAAATCATGAAAGCACAATTTGGAGTTCCAAGTGGAACCACTTATGTACGTACTTGTGCATGGGAGCCCCTTTCCAGTCCTTAAGCTCTACATATGGAAGTCAGGAGGGGGCCTGCATGAACCATATTTCTCCCTCCTTTCTGCATCTACTTTATGCATGAAGGGGTGTGCTGCTATTATTATTGGTGCTGCTATTATTATTATTGTTGTTGTTGTATTAGAGCCTTGTTTTTCCAGTGTTCCATCTAGTCACTCAGTTTACTAACTGACATTTTATGAGACCTTTGAGACTCTTATTCATCTGGCAAGTTGGAAACCTGCACTGTCAATTCTCTTTCAGGCTAAGAGCCAAACCTGTCATTGGCTAAGGCCACATTTTTCTGTTGGTATTAAGGAAAATGGTTTGCATCACTTGCAGGCCCAACGAAACAACGAAGGCCACTCTGTCTCTCTACTGAGTGCTTAAGTCCCTGACACGTGATGGCAGCACAATATGGAAATGGCATCTGAGAGTGCAACCTGCTGTAAAATAATTGGAAACTGACTGACATTCCATCATAAAATCAATTCTGTTGCGCAGAGATGGATAAATATAATCTCTCAAAGTTGCATCATCTCTCTCCTTGAAAACAAGTGTTCTTTCAATTGCCTTGGCACTGAACAAACTAGCTACGACAGCCTTTGATATTGTATTGAGTGATGGCTCACAAAAGATGGGGGTTATTATTTCTTTTCCTTCAGTGTGTATGGTGTACAGTGTTTTGATTTTAAGACACAACACAAGGGGGAACATAGGAAGCTGCCACTATTGGCCCATTTGGCCTATTTCTGGCAACATTTCCTGGCAGTGACTCTTCAGAATTTCAGGCAGGAGTTTTTCTTGTCCTGCCTGACCTTCTGCATGCAAAGCAGGTGCTCCTCTCAGAAAAGGTACGTGTGTCTAGCAGAGCTGAACTCTTGGTCCATCTAGCTCAATATTCTCTTCACTGACCGGCAATTGATTCTGCAGGGTTTCAGCCAGGCAACTTTCTCAGGCCTACCTAGGCGGAGAGGGCTTTGCTCAAGAATACCTAGGCTCTTCAAAGAATGGCAAGAAGACAAAGCTATTCTCATATATAAACCCAGCACAGTCAATTGAATGACACTGGTGGGACCAAACTGAAGGAAGTATATGGAACACACAGAAGCTGCCATATACAGCGGTCAGATTATGCATCTGTCTAGCCCAGTATTGTAGACACTGCTTGACAGCTGCTCTCCAAGGGTTTAGGCAAGATTCTTTCCTAGCCCGACTTGCAGATGGTGGGTGCTGAACCTGGGACCTCCAATAAGCAAAGCATGTGTTCTGCTGCCGAATACAGCCCCATCAGTGGGGAGTGGCCAGCACCATCCTCTCCTTCTTGTCCAGACCAAGCAGTGTGCAGCCTCTGAACCTCAGAAGTTGGTACAGTTCTCTCCATCCCCAGCAGACGACCTTGGTGCCAGGCCACCTCTTAATCGCTGTGCGTGCTGCATCACACCAAGTTATTCATCCTAGGGGGAGGTCCTCCATGCCTCCCCTTTGGAATTGCCAGCACACCACTCTTATCCAGCTCCACACAGGATCCAAAGCATTGGATGCTCCAGAGAAAGAACTCCTCCTTCGACTTTAGGCCCTGACTACAAAGGTCAGTGCCATGAGGAGGGAGGTCCTACCTCCACACCCTTCCACCTGTGTGAGGCAAGAATGCACGTTCCTGTTTCATCCTCCATCTTCAACCTTATATGGCTCACATCCCTCCACATCTGGGGGCAGTCCTCACATCAAATCAGCATACAAAGACAATGCGGACAGAACATGGATAGTCTGTAAAAATAATGGCTGCTTCCTAAGTACACAGAATCAATACCATGGTAAATTATTTGACCGAATCAGAATGTGCAAGCTGAGGCGACCCGTATTATTTGCATTAGCATACGGAATTAACTTATTAATGGAGCCCAGAACATTTTACCCAGGAAAAACAAAGCACAACCTGACCCTTTACAAAAAAAATGCCTCGGGCTAAATATGTATCCAACTAGCTTGAGGGAAAATAATTACCATGTCCTCAGGGAAGCTGTGTATTAAATACATCTGTGTTAAACTGGAACTTAGAAACCAGTTTTTTAAAGTGGCAAGTTCACTAAATAGGCAGCTTTCCTTTGCAAACTCAGTTCAAAACATGATACAAGTCTATCATATCTATTTTTTTATTATCACCGCCACTGTTTATTACAATACTAATGTATAACATATTAGAAATCTTCCTGGTTTAAATTCTGCTACAGGAGGGAGGTTCTGCTGCCTTATTTTGGCCTCCAGCATTTTCTCTGATTCATTTCATAGACACAGCCCCTCAGCCATGATGCAGTACCAACCTTTAATATACAGAAGTGACAGGAAATATTATGGAATTATTTATGTATATAATTTACTGGACAGGTTTGCTGCCTCTCCAAGCTGTGCAATGAAAAAATGAGCCCCCTTTGTCACCACATGTCAGAGAAAGGCAGACAAATGGCCACAGAGAGAGTCAGCCTGCCCCCTGATGCTGCTGCATGGTAAGAAACGGAGCTGCTTGGTCACCATACAGGAGAGAAGAGCTCTTATTATGGTCAGCTGGCCAATGCCTGTAGGCCGGATGTTTCTCATGCCTGGGTGAAAGCAAGTCAGAGCTTGAGTAAGATGCAAGTACCTTCTAGAAAAACCAGACAAACAACTGCAACAACACCCCCACCCTCCCATCCCATATAAACAAGAGCGTGTCACTTGGTGGTGCTCATCTCAAAATAGCAAGTAAAAATACTGCGTACATTTTTTAACCTAATTTATTGCAGATCTGTGTGAGATCCGGACTGACTGCAGGTTAGAGCTGCTCAGCTCTGCTACCCCTATTTTGTCCTTATAGGATTTTGGCCGGTTATATTTCATCCTCAAGCTGTTATTTTCTGAAGAATCATAGGGTAGGGTGGGGAGGATGACAGGAATACAAATTAGCTGTCCACAACTCTTTTACTCCTGAGTAATATTGCTGTTTTCATAGGAATGAACTAGAGCACAATCATATGTATATTTAGACTGAAAAAGGCCCAGATTTGGCTGGAGAATGCTGGGAGTTGTAGGCCTCCCCTTCACAGCTAAACTGTACAGTACTGCTGCTTGAACTGCAGGCTTATTATTTTAAGACTGATTTTAGTTTTAGGATTATGATTTATTACTTCATCTGTATACCTAGAAATTGATGGAGGTTGCCATAAAAATTGAGTCCAATGAAATTCATGTGGAATTGTCCTTCATCTTGCTAGGGTCTTAATAAGGACCACTTCTTAACATGTAGACCAGAAATGGGGAAGTTCAGGCCCTGGGCATTGGATTCCCCAACAGACCACATCCAGTTCCCTGGTCCCAAGCCTATCCCCAAACATGGATCGCTTGTTGATTTCTCAGCTTGTGCAGCTTTTCTCCCATTCAGAAAGGCTGCAAATGCCTCTTCTATGGTTTACTCATCGACAGTAAAAACATTATGCTGCAATAAGCTGACCTTTTTTGTATTTTTAGACCCACCCCTTTTAGCTTTGGCTCCGCCTACTACTGCAATGTAGCCCCAAGAGCATCTCTGAAACTGAATCTAGGTCTCAAGCTGAAAGAGGTTCCCCATCTTTGTCCTACAATATTGCATGCAAACATAGCTAAATTGCTTATTTGATATCAGATCATCAGCAATGACCAAGACCCGCAACAATCCATACCTCTTGCCGCTTGAAGTTCTGTACATACTCTTCAAACTGTTCATCTTTTGTTTCATCAGCTTTTCCCAGCTTCTGAAGTACCTTTAAGAGCAAAGAAAGTAGAAAAGAAAACAGTTATGTTGAGCAGAACCTTCAAACTCCCAGTGGACTGCCAACATCATTTTAACTCCCCGCAATTCGTTTGCTTATCATGGTAAGATTTTACTGTGATTCTTCAGCTGCCCTAACATGAAACTGATCTCAAATGCAAATCCATGGCACTACTGTTTGAATATCAAAACCCCAAGAAGGGAGAATAGATTCAAAGCACAGAGCCACTTTGTGTGCCTGCGTGGGCGACTTGGAAATGCGTTCGGAACCAGCAAGGGTCTTGTCCTGCTTTTATGAAGCGATAGATCTTCCTGTCAAGAAGCAGTCCCAGAGGTTCCACTGCAGCAAAGGGAGGAGCACGATCTGCCTGAATAAGAAACCCCTGTGCAATCACATAAGATTAAAAACCCAAACTTCATCAGGCTTTTCCCTACATGTTATGCTTCATTATACATGATAGCAATCAATATTCTTCTAATGTAATATTTTAAATACAGAGAAAAGAAGAAAACAGTGAAATCTTCAGAACTGTCTGACATTTAATGAGGTACAAAATCATCTTCAGCACAGGCTGATAAATGATTATTTGGGTTTAGCTGCCACATTTATTTGTGGTTTACTGCTCAGGGTCTACTATGGCTGTACTTGAAAGTGCTGTGATGTACAGTCCAGTCGGCTCGCAGGTCATAAGATCTATATAAGAATACACAGCTTAGTGAAACAAAAAATGCTTTAATAAAATAAGACAGAGCGACTTATTTTTTAAAATAACATAAAACAACAACAATAAACGAATGAAAGAAAGAAACTAACGAACAAGACACCCTTTTGTGTAAGTTAAAGGAAATAGCTATAGGTTATTCTACAGTTGCCTTGGGCATGCAATGAGATGTATTGCCTACATACAGGCACAAAAGAAAACACAAGCCTTTAAAATGGGGGATTTACTCGGTGTACAGATGTACCCACATGCACATCAGTTAAATATATAACCAGCCCTTGCTTTTTATACCATAAGCCCTCACTCTCCAAGTGGTGGGTTGTGCCCCAATGCATCATCTTGCCCCTGTTTTTCTCAGGTTAGCTTCATTTCCATCAACTTTCCCAAGCCTGATGCCCTCCAGATATTTTAGACTACAGTACCCAGCATTGCTGCATATTGCCTTTGTTGGCTGGGGCTGGTAGGAGCTGAAGTCCAAAATATTTGGTAAGGCACCATCTTGTGCACGGCTGTTCTTGTAAGTGCTGTGATGCATAGCCCAGGCTGGCTGAGGAGTGCTGGGAGCTGTAGGTCTTTTTATGCCTCTATATGCATAGAATTATGCCCTAAAGTGTTGCTGAAGTGATGCCCAGGAGGGTTCTCAGATGGAAAAGGTCAAAGACAACAGATTGAAAAGTGTCACTGGAAGCTGTTCAACATTAAGAGTAACAACAGATGCTGATATTAAACAAAATGTAAAAATACACTAATATAAAATATGCATTTTTCATATCTAATATGCATTTTTCATATTAAACAAATATAAAACATGCATTACTTTCAAAGGCCATCATCTGTTAGCCTGAGAGTATATTCATAATTGAGGTGAGCAAACTCACATCAACCCCCCTCACCCACCCACAAATTCTGGGTTGCTCAGTGGCAAAACAGATGCTCTTGAAAACATCTAATGGGATTAAGGGGAGGGAAGAAACCACCTGCTAATGTTATTGTAAGCAGTCTGAGAGCAAAGCCTAGTTTTTTGGCAGTGGAGGCAAGAGGAAGATGAAATGGAATACAGGGAGATACAAAAGGTGGCATTTTTTCCATGGATGTTGACTGCAGCTAAATTCCTGATTTATATGGAGCTGCTAATAAAGTAGAATGGGGGGTGGGGGGCAAGTCACACCATCATGTCGCCTGATGCTTTTGTATTATCAGTCATTACAGAGAGAAGGGAAGGGAAGAAAAGAGGACAAGTGGAATAGGGGCTGTCCTTGCATTATCTGACCTGGCCTTATTGAGCACCAGATCAGACATTTATTTTAATCTGCCTGTGGCAGCTGCACATTATGTTCTTTCCATTTTACTCTACAGTAGGCAAAGGGGGCCCAGTCCAGATCTTAAAAGCCCCTTTCCTCCCATGCAAAGGCCCTGATCCAAATCTGTCCTCCTGCGCCTACTCTAGAATAAAAAGTAAACAAGATCTAGTTGCTGGACAAACATTGTTTTGGCTATTAAGGAAGTCAAATAAAGAGTTGCCATCTTATTTTGGATGGTTATCACGTAGGCTGAGTAAACTGCATATCCTACTTTGTGTGTGTACTTTTTGTTTGTCTGGGCTTCCTATTCTCACACAGAGAGTGAGATGCACATGTTATCTCTTTGTTCATTCCACTGGGAATGCAAAAAGAGGACTTGCACATCCCTATTCAGCTTTTTCCTGCTGTAAAGCTCAAAGCTGCACTTCAGCTTTCTCCACCCCTGCAAACTTTTTCAAGCTTCTGAAGGGGGATGGAGAAAACACAGAAGAAGGACAATACAAAGTGGGGACAGAGAAAGGCACATTGTTGGAGAAGAAAGGCAGAGAACATGCAGAGAAAGCACAAAGAAATGGCCATTAGAGAATTTCTGTATAAAAATGTGAGCAGAATGGAGAAGAAATGAATGGCACCATAGGCATCGGGATCCGTGTAAGAAATTGAGTATAAGCTATATTTGTCCATATTTCCTGGCCCACTCACCTCCTCCATTTCTGCCAAAGGTTAGTGAAATCGCTTTCCTGTCTGAACAAGGGACACTCGCATAGCAACACAATGTCGCTTCCTTCATGAATGGATGGCAATTGTTCAGAGATTATCACCAACACGCTCCCATCAGGCAAGAGGAATCCATTATTTTTAGACTTGGCACTCACATGGCCTTTGTGGCAGAGGAATCCCTGCCCGAGTTCACCGGAGTTGTGATGAGCCCTGGACCAGGGAGGCAGAGCCCATTCCCCAGCTCCTGGCCACACCAGTGACAACCATTACAGACTCAGCTGCTCTCAGCATGGTGCTGCAGTGGAGCCACAAACCCTGCACATTGTCCCAGGATTCTCAAGTCGCCAGGGCACAAAGGTGTTGAGCCGGAGGCCCATGGGCCAGATTACCATGCCTGGGCTCCCAGCCCAACCCCTGCTCTGAGCACAGGTCATGAATGCCAGGGCTACTTTTGTGTTTGCCTGGAATTCGTGGTTCCAACCTAGATCTGCAGTACAAGCACCTCTAGGTGGAAAATCATCAGAGCAGTAGCTAGAAGCTCTCCTGCAGAGCTGTAGTGGAGCCAAGACCCACAGGGACACAGTGCAAAGCGCTTCTTTACTAGCATGGACACTGACACCATGTGCTCCCATCTCAGAGTTTCTCATTGTCCCTGAGCTTAGCTGCAATCCTCACAGTAGCTGAAGGAAACTGATTTCCCTCCAGCAACAATATCTTGTTTTCTGTTGCAGTGCAAAGTAGTTTGGGTTGACTTCCCTTGAATGGACAATGAAGGCCTCCTTAGTTTTCCAAAGCACCTGCTTGGGGTGGAGATGGAAACTGCTAGGACTGGTTTGTCCGTATGGATCAGTACGGTTGCCTGCATCATTGCCCTCTTCTTGGGGGTGTAGTTGTGATAGTCATGATGAGCTCCTATGCTTCAACATTTACCACGACACCGCTGCTCTCCTTGCAAGAAGGGAAGAGAATTAACGAGGAGAGGAATGGCAGGGTGTGTGTGCATGAGATCAACAAGTCCCAAAACCTGACTTGTTGGGCAGACAGTTAGCCAGAAACGTGAATGAAAACAGTCCCTTTGTAATGCTGGGGAACAGATGAGGCAAAGGGCAGAGGAGCACTGGAAGCAATCACCATTCCCACCTTTCTTGGTGACAGATGAAAGGGTCACCCTGGAAAAGAAGCCTTCTCCTTTCTTCCTAGTGCCCTCCAGGTGTGCTGGCCTTGAAACTCCCATCATTTCCAGCCAGCCAGCGTGGCCATTGCCATGGCAGTGGGCTTGATTCAATGCCCCTTTTCATGAGTGTATATTTCCATCTATGTAGATGCATCCATAGATTATCAGATCAGACCCCCCGACCCCCACCCTGCGGCATTTTTCTTTCTGCTGGGTATAACCCAACCCGAGGCAGCCCTGGGAATGAAACAGGCACATGGACATGTAGAAAGAAATCTGCTGTCAGGGTAACCAATGCTTATGTTATCCTTACCTGGCCTCTGGGCCCCAAAATTCTGTGTCAGCAGCAACTCAGGGAGGTGAATTGGGGTAGCTTTCCACACTGTTCGCTCAACACTGCCACACACAGCCATAAATACCCACAGGGCTGCTGAACACTGGGTGAAGATCCCCATGGAAACCTAGCCATGTGATCTGGCCCTTAGTTAAAGGTTTATATTTGTGATTTATCCCCTTGATGCTTCAAAATGAGGTTTTTAACTCTCTAATCTGTCTGAATCTAGCCAAGGCTTTTCTAAGTATTCAGCATACCAAACCAGCTTTGAATCTTTTTCCCTGAACAGAAGCACCACTCAGAATAGTAAATGCAGAACAGCAAACGAGCCTTACCTAAGAAACTGTTGGGGTCACCTGTCACTAACAGAGAGAAAGACTCAAAGGTGTACATGAATGCAGGTAAGAGCAATACACTGGTCTAGATGAGAGCAGGTTTAGAAGGTTTCATGCACTTCAAACAGTAAGGACAACAAGAGGCACATACTACTGAAGGACAGTGGCCTTCAGTGTTGATCAAATGGTCATTCTAATCCAGACTTCCTCAACCTGCTATTCCAATGCTATCCATAGGTTCATTCTGGGGAACATATTTCCTGGCAAGCTCTGGTTGAAGTCATTAAGGAGAAGCTGAGGCTACAGTCAGGTCCAAAAGGGGATGACACAGGAGGACAAGATGAGATAGTGAGAACATAAGACAAGGCCTCCTAGATCAGACCAAAGGGCCAGCGCTGTGCTCATA